CCTCCAATGCAAGTCAGTAGAACCTCCTTTCCTTGTGCATATGCACGTTATTGTTCAATTACCTACATTGATCCATCACAACTTTATTGATGAGTAGACTAGCCTCGCACCGAGCAGAAACTGTTTTACTCTTGCTAGGACCCTCAGCTCAGCCATATGGGCATTACCCAGAGGGACCAATCCCATTCATGCCTTCATCTCTTTAGTTCGACTTGAGACAGAACAGATGTCCTGAGACTTGTGCCTACAGAAAAGATCTCTTGAAACTTGTGCCTATAGAACAGATCTCTTGAGACTTGTGCCTACTGAACAGATCTCTTGAGACTTGTGCCTACAGAATAGATCTCTTGAGACTGTTGGAAACAACTAATTCTAAGCGCCTCTGTCGTGTCGAAACACCAAGGCACAAGCGAAGCACAACATGTCGCAGCATCAGCGAGTCAACCCTCGGAGGTTGAGCAAACTGCTGGAGGTTACGCGAAAGTCCAAGGTCAGCGACCTTTGACCTGACAAGTACAGCGCAACAGCAAGGACACACAACTGACTCGATACTGAGCAGTTGCCCGAATCGTCACTGTATCGAACCGCAACAGCAACCGTAAAGTAGTTATAACTGTATCTCTTCGTATTCCTTGTACTCTTATATATAATCCTGTATCTCCTTGCTTTAATCAACTTACTTTGCCCTCACATACCAGCGCAAGGTGGTTCACAACTCTTTATCAAAGACGCTTCCGCTATTACATCAGTCCTACCCAGAATTCACCCCTGCAAAGATCCTTAAGGCTTTTTCAGCCCAACATGGTATGAGAGCTATCACGGGGAATTCAACTATCAAAACGCCTACAACATCAGAAGACATGGCTACTCAGAATGAAAGGAGTTCCTCCATTGGTTCTCCCGGCACTTCTCCTACTCCACCTCCTGCCTCTGGCCTACAGACAGAGGAGGGTACGGCAACAAGACCCAGGACAACATCCACCGAGACTCCTGCGAATCAACCTGCAGGCTTCGACCAGAGCATGATGGAGAAGTTTTTCTCCTTCATGTCCTTCTATGAGCAACACCAGCAATCGGTACCTGCGCAATCACACAACAGCAACAACAACAACGACGCGACTCCAATGAGCCTTGACGGTTCATCCTACGCACGTGGAAATCAACAGCAGCAACCTACCTTTGCTCCGTACGAGCCCCAGCGCGGCTCCGTCAGCATTATGCCACAACCGCAGCCTGCACCTGGACAGGAAAAACCACTGGACGCACTTCAAGTTCAGTCGCAGTTCGCGCACGTTTTAAAACTTCAGACGTCAAGGTCTTTCGACGGAAAGGACTTCTTCACCTGGTCGTTCGAGTTCGAGTTAATGATGGAAGGCGCGCAGATTCTTGGCTTCTTCGACGGATCTCTGCCATACCCAACAAAAGACACACAACAGTACACCTATCAGTCAATGATGGTGTATACGATTCTACTGAGGAACATCACCCCAAACCAGCAGCAGAATATACGATCTTACCGGGGATATGGGAACTCCGCCGAACTCGCATACAGCCACTTGAAGAACCTGTACCAAGCAACAGACAGCGTTAATCAGAGTCGGCTAATGGCGCAGTTGACAACAGTGGAAATGAAACCAGGCGAAAAGGGAATAGCGTATATCAGCCGCTGTCACGAGTTGCGCGACAAACTCCTTCGATCCGGAGGGTCGATATCTGAAGACGCCTTCGTAACAGTTATCATCGGCGGCCTCAATCCTCAATGGCGCGCCACAAAAGCCATTCTCTGAGCTCACGGAAGAATCTCCGAAGTAGCACTCTGCGCCGAAATTCACGCCGAGCAACAAGACATGGACCTGCAAGAGGAACGACACAAGAAGAAAGCATTAGCACCGGAATTCGCCTTCCGCACTCAGCGACGCTACAACAACAACAACAACAACCGACAACAACCAAAACCTGTACCTCCGTTCTGCCACATCTGCAAGACACCAGGGCACCCACGCACACACTGCCCGAATCGACAACAGTCAACTCCACCGCAACGGCAGCTTCGACCCTCAAGCATCCAAGTGGCATCGACGCAGGCGAACCCCACGAGTCAGTCGCAACCTTCAACAACACAATCTGCACAAGGAGCAAGAAACATTGTCAGCTGCATGACAAAATTGACCGATTCCTGCATCACCGAGTCACCGCCGCACTACTCACCGGAAGAACAACTCGACAACATCACACCTCACCGTGAGTCACTTCAACCGAATCCAACGTACGCAGCCATCGCCCAGAGCGAGCCATCCGGAAAAGATACCTGGTTCTTGGACAGCTGCTGCGGACAACACATGTGCTCTTCAGGACGCTTCGTGCAGCAAGAGTACCAACTCCAACGCGAAGTAGTCATCACCGTCGCCAAGAACCAGAACCTGCGCACACGACGACAATGCGTGGTTCAACTTCAGTCAAGAGAGACAAACGTTATACTACAGATGTCAAAGGTATTAATCGTGGAGGGACTCGGCTACAACTTACTGAGCGTCAGCCAGTTGATGGCAAAAGGCATTCACCTTGAAGCAGACAGCACCACCCAGGAGTTCAAGTTGTACCACGGAAGAGGAGGTCTCTACATCGGCAAGGCAGTTTTAAAAAACAACGTCTTCGTTCTCGACTTCGTCCCGGACCTTGGCACCGCTGACAGCGACGCCATCGTGAACTTCACCTCTTGGACACATCCACCGGATCTTGACCCAGACTTCAGCCCCGACGGCTTTTGGTATTCACACACAATACCTGAAGCAGAAAGAACAAGAGCGTTAGCGACAATTCAACATTCAGCAGCAACAGAGACAACATCGGCAGCAGCAGAGACAACATCGGCAGCAGCAGAGAAAACATCGGCAGCAGCAGAGACAACAACGGTAGCAACAGAGACACCGGAGACAACAGCGGCAACATCAACACCAATCGCTGGTCCTTCAACGGCACTGATCTTTGTCGACGACACACCTGTGAAAATAGGTAGGTAATGAAAGTAGCCATAGCTAGGACTAACATAGCTAGGCAAGAAGAAGTTAGGCAAAAGAGGGGTTGTACTAGCAAGCAATGAGATACAAATATGAAACCCTAAGGGGTTATACTCGCTATAGAGTACCCCACTGCAGGCTAGATAACAAATATAACATTCTGACAACACCACCGACACCCGCGCAGCAACTGCACCCAGCACCACGAGAAGTTCATCGAAGTGCCAACTTCAGCGCCAGCTTCTACTCCAACTCCGATATGTATCGGCGCTCACCCGAACATCGTGCCACCGAAGGAACCTGGCATGCAAGAATGGGATACCCAAGCAACACGGTGTTAAACAACACGATAAGAGCAGGCGTGCTTGACAAAGACTCTCTACTCCTAACTGACGGCAAGAACTTCAGCGAGCCCGTGGAACATGCTTCACCTGTCCTGAAGCTGATTTACCGCATCAACCGTTCGCGTCTCACCACAACCCTAGCGCACCAGCTTACGCGCCACTCGAGAAGGTGTACAGCGACATTCTGTACAACCGCGAGCCTGGAAAAAACGCGTACAATTACACCATCACCTTCATCGACGCAGCCACTCGATACGTCTGGCACCTAAACCTTCCAAGCAAGGACATGGCATTCGAAGCCTTCGTCGCCTGGCTTCCAGTAGCAGAAAGAGAATCGGGCGTCAAACTAAAAAGCTTCCAGTCAGACGGGGGAGGAGAATACACCTCACAGAGGTTCAAGGAATACTTGGCAGAGAGAGGAATCAAGCGACTCATCTCTCTTCCCTACGCCCATCAACAACAGGGTGTAGCAGAAAGGATGAACATGACCCTCCAGAACACCATGCGCAAGCTGCTACGTGGCATGAACCTGCCCAACCACCAGTGGCCCGAAGCAATGGACCACGCCGTCATGCTGCACAATTTGCTCTCGTCATCATCGCTCCCGAACAACGCATCACCGCATTTGCTGTGGACAGGAAAACTGGGCAGCACAAAAATGTTAAGAGTCTTCGGCTGCATGGTACAGTACCGGCCTCCATCTGCACGAGCTGGCCGATTCTCACAATGCGCACAGTGGGGACTACACCTGGGCATCGAAAAACACTACAACGCATGGAAGATTTTCGACGTCGAGACAAAGGAAACAGTAGCAGCACGTGATGTCATCTTCTACGAAAACCTCACCCTCCGGTATTACCTTGCCAACTTGCAAGAAGGAAACCCCGATTGCTCCGATGGTTTTCTTGGGACCCGAGCCTTCGCCTCGGCAAACGTCGAAGCTGACTGGGACGAGCAGAACGTGGAAGGAGCCTCGGAAGAAGCCGTACCTCTCCCCTACTGCTCCGTCGACGTGCCAATGGACGACGAAAACCTACGCGAAAGTATCAACGTCGAAACCTATTACCATTTCGTCGACAACGGTTACGTTACACCTGCACAAGTCAACACCGACGAAGCAGAACGCGTAGGACCCAATTTCGCACTTGATCCAGAAGCGGGAGACGAAGTTGTTTATCCCGCGGACATGTGACTTCTCCGCAACACACAGAGTGGACTCCAGATCCTCGGGCTCGTCACCGCAGTCCACGGCACGGCCATTCCTAAAGAGCCTGCCACAATTCAGCAGGCTGTGGGGGGGGAGCATAAGGAAAAATGGCGCGAAGCCATGGACAGGGAATTAAAGGCACTTGAGGAGCGCAACACCTAGAAAGTCGTCCCTATCAGTGTGGCGCGGAACAAAACAACCTAATTCTCACCGGGAAGTGGGCCTTCCGAGTGAAAACAAATGCAGACGGCACCATCGACAAAATTAAAGCACGCTGGGTTGTACGTGGCTTCGACTAAGAACACGGACGCGACTTCACCGAGACATTTGCCCCGGTCAGCCGACAAACCTCACTTCGAATCCTTCTCGCGATCGTCGCCATGAAGAAAAAGAAGCTGCGGCAAATCGACGTCGAGAATGCATTTCTCTACGCACCTGTTGACGCTGAGATCTTCGTCGAGCTCCCGCACGGCTCCAACGGGGAACCCAACCAAGTCTGTCAACTGCTGAAGTCACTCTACGGCATCAAACAAGCTCCAAGGCTATGGCAACAGTACCTACACGCAAGACTTATCCGCATAGGATTTCGCCAGCTACCTCACGACCAGGGAATGTACCGGCTGACAAAGGGCACCGACTACATCCTACTAATCATCTACGTAGACGATCTACTCTACATCGGGTCGACCGATGGCGTCAGTACTTGGTTCGAAGGGGAGCTGCAAAAAGACCTCACACTCACAGTCTCGTCCACCGTCACACAATACCTCGGTCTCAACATACGGGAAGAAGAATACGCGATCTACCTTAGCACCGCAAAGTACGCCGACACCATCGCCAAACGCTTCGTTCTCACACCAACTACCATCTCCACACCATATCGCTACACGGCAGGAATCTGCAAGGAAGAATCCGCTCCACTGAAGCCCGCCGGCATACGTGACTACCAGAGAAAGCTGGGCTGTCTTCTCTTTGCAGCCGTCACTTGCCGTCCGGACCTATCATACTCCGCAAGTCAGCTCGCGACCTACCTCAAGAAACCTGAAGTAGAACACATGGCAGAACTCGACCGCGCTCTCCACTACCTCATCAGCACCTCAACAATCGGCCTGACCTATCACAAGAACGGGACTACGACACCTAGGCTAATCGGCTATGTCGACGCCGATCACGTCGGCGACTCCGACAACAGGCGCTCCCGCACCGGCTACATCTACCGTTTCGAGCCTATCGGTACTATCTCCTGGCAGTCAAGCAAGCAGAAATTAATCGCTCTCTCCTCAGCTGAATCAGAATACATCGCACTCTGCTCAGCCACCAAGGAAGGACTGTACCTTCGCGAACTCCTGGAAGAAGCCAAGCTAGCCCAGTTACCGAACTTCACCCTGTTCTGCGACAACCAGTCGGCCATTCGCATAGCCAACAAGAAAGGCTTCGCAAATAGAACGAAACACATCGCCCTGCGATATTTCTTCGTGAAGGACGAAATCGAGAAGGGGAGACTCGAGCTGTCATAATGCCCCACGTCCGAAATGGCAGCTAATTACCTGACCAAGAAGCTCGGAAAACAGAATTTCGAGTACTGCATGCTGCTGACTGGACAGAGCCACGTCACCAGCAGCGACACTCCAGAAGCGAAGGGGAGTGTTGGAAACAACTCATTCTAAGCGCCTCTGTCGTGTCGAAACACCAAGGCACAAGCGAAGCACAACATATCGCAGCATCAGCGAGTCAACCCTCGGAGGTTGAGCAAACTGCTGGAGGTTACGCGAAAGTCCAAGGTCAGCGACCTTTGACCTGACAAGTACAGCGCGACAACAAGGACACACAACTGACTCGATACTGAGCAGTTGCCCGAGTCGTCACTGTATCGAACCGCAACAGCAACAGTGAAGTACTTATAACTGTATCTCTTCGTATTCCTTGTACTCTTATATATAATCCTGTATCTCCTTGCTTTAATCAACTTACTTTGCCCACACATACCAGCGCAAGGTGGTTCACAACTCTTTATCAAAGACGCTTCCGCTATTACACCAGTCCTACCCAGAGTTCACCCCTGCAAAGATCCTAAAGGCCTTTTCAGCCCAACAGAGACTTGTGACTTGTGCCTACAGAACAGATCTCTTGAGACTTGTGTCTACAGAACAGATCTCTTGATACTTGTGCCTACAGAACAGATCTCTTGAGACTTGTGCCTACAGAACAGATCTCATGAGACTTGTGCCTACAGAATAGATCTCTTGAGACTTGTGCCTACAGAACAGATCTCTTGAGACTTGCGCCTACAGAATAGATCTCTTGAGACTTGTGCATACAGAGCGGATCTCTTGCGAGCGATGATCTGGGAGAAGTCTTTTGAGTCGACTCAAAAGTCACTTCATCTCTTTAGTTCGACTTGAGACTATTGGGAGGGATGTTGAGACTTGTGCCTACAGAACAGATCTCTTGCGACAGACGATATGGGAAATAACAAACCCAGTTCGATTAGCACCTGCTCAAGGTCCCTCTGGCGAATCGGCTTGGCGAATCGGCGAATCTGGGAAACTCGTCCATGCATGCCTGCACTTGCACACTTGTCCCTCTCCCACTCATGCTCTACTGCATTAGCAGTGACTGTGACCGTGTGCAAATGATGCTGTTCTGACTTCCAGGCCATCCTACACTACACCCGATAGAGTTTGCGTAGAGACACCTACCTAGGTGTCTCAAATCAAGACATTGCTGCCACGTATTGACCCATGGCCTCTAAGTGGGGCCCAATCCGACTTCCAGGCCATCCTACACTACACCCGATAGAGTTTGCGTAGAGACACCTACCTAGGTGTCTCAAATCAAGACATTGCTGCCACGTATCGACCCATGGCCTCTAAGTGGGGCCCGATCCGACTTCCAGGCCATCCTACACTACACCCGATAGAGTTTGCGTAGAGACACCTACCTAGGTGTCTCAAATCAAGACATTGCTGCCACGTATCGACCCATGGCCTCTAAGTGGGGCCCGATCCGACTTCCAGGCCATCCTAAACTACACCCGATCCCGTGCAACGATCTCGGAGAGCACCTGCTCAAGATCCCTCAGGCGGACCCATCCATGCTCGCATGCGCACACTTGTCCCTCTCGTGCGTCATGCCCTCTCCAAGCGTCACCGTGCCTGCACAGTCCCTGTGGCAAATGGTGCCCGTTTCAAGCCAGCCTACACCCGATCCCGTGCAACAATCTGGGAGAGCACCTGCTCGAGATCCCTCAGGCGGATGGGCTTGGCCAGAAACCCGTCCATGCCTGCATGCGCACACTTGTCCCTCTCGTGCTTCATCGTGCTCGCAGTGACAGCATAGATGGTCGATCGCTGCACCACACTGTTGTGCCCCGCCCTTCTCTCTTCCTCCTCTGGGAAGGGAGGGACATGAGTGCGCTGCTGAGCCACCCTTCCCTGATCAGCCCTCTCATCCTCCTCTTGCTGCTCCTCTCGCTGCTCCTTCTGCTGCCCCTCTCCCTGCTCTGCGTGTAATCTACTACGAGAGTTGTGAGCTGCATTGGAGCCTGGCATGGGGGCGATGTGGGCGCTGGACTGAAGCTGGCGGATGCGCGTGGTGGCTTCAAAGCCGTCCATGACTGGCATGTGGCAGTCCTGTATCGGGGATGAATGGAGAGGGGCAGGGTGGGTTGGGATGGAATGGGAGTGTAAGACAGCCCGACAGATGTGCATGGTGGCTTCAAATCCGCCCATTACTGAAATGTGACAGTCCTGTATCGAGGATGAATGAAGAGGGAGATGGGAAGGGAAAGGATGGGGTGGGATGGGATGCGGTGGGAATGTGTGAAAGCGTGTTGGACGAGGAATCAGGCAATGAAATAAAAAGAGGGGCAAGCACAAGGACATGCCATGAAGAGCTGACTTTTGAGTCGACTCAAAAGAGGGGCAAGCACAAGGACATGCCATGAAGATGACGTGGTAGGTGGTTGGTGGATAAGATATCCAGGATAGAAGCAAGTGAGAGCACAGTCTGACCAGGAAGATGACGTGGCAGTTGGTGTTTAAGCGACCATGAAAGCAAAGGACATACCAGGAAGATGACGTGGTAGTTGGTGGATAAGAGATGCAGAATGGATAATGATGAGAGAGCTTGCACTCACCATGAAGATGACGTGGTAGTTGGTGGATGAACGATGGAGAACATTATTAAATGATGGTGTGGACTGACCATGAAGATGACGTGGCAGTTGGTGGATCGATCATGAAGATGACGTGGCAGTTGGTGGATCGACCATGAAGATGACGTGGCAGTTGGTGGACTGACCATGAAGATGACGTGGCAGGTGGTGGACTGACCATGAAGATGACATGGTAGTTGGTGGAGCGGCAGGCCTCCACGGCCTTGTGCCCATTCTCTGCCACGTCACACGAGACTCGCAGGTTCCTCAGCAGCTGCACCACCACCATGCGATTCACCGCGTTGTCCTCCACCACCAGGCACCGCAGCCCCGCGAATGGCCCTCCCTCCCTGCTGCCACCACCACCACCACCACCACCACCACCACCACCACCACCACCACCACCAGCACCAGCACCAGCACCAGCACCAGCACCAGCACCAGCACCAGCACCAGCACCAGCACCAGCACCAGCACCAGCACCAGCACCAGCACCAGCACCAGCACCAGCACCAGCACCAGCAGCAGCACCACCACCACCAGCACCACCACCACCACCAGCCGTCGCACCACCATCAGCACCAGCAGCACGGCTCCTGCTCCCGCTGCCGCTCCCGTCGCCGTTGCTGCCGCTCCTGCTGCCGCCCCTGCTGCCGCTGATGCCGCCGGTGCCACTACCAGCAGTCGTGCTGCTGTTGTATTTGGGAAAGAGCGGCCTGGTCAGGGACATGCCTGCTCGCTTGGGAGCAGCAAAAGGCCTCTTTTCAACGTGTAACCCCTCCTCCTTCTGCTGCTGCTCCGCTGTTCTCTTACTGTCATCCATCTCTCGCTCTCCCGACTCCCCCATGCTTCTCTCCTCTTCCTCTGCCTTTTCCTCTGCCTCCTCCTCTTCCTTCTCTGCCTCCTCCTCTTCTTCCTCCTCTTCTTCCTCCTCCAGGGCGTCCACTTCCCCTTCGTTGTCACAAGACCCTCTCTTTCGCTTCCTCTGCCCTTCCGAGCTATCCTGCTCATGTCTCTCTTCATCTGCCAACCCTCCTGCAGCCTCAGTGCCCGGTGGCAAAACCTGCTGATGCTGTGGCTGCTGCTGCACCTGCAGATTGGTCCCTTCCCTCCCTGCTAATCTCTCCTTTGTCCCCACAACTCCCTCTCCACGCGTTTCCACCACAAAACCCAATCCTCGCACTCCCCGCCTCTCAGCACCTTCCCACATTACCCCGTGCATCTCACGCGCTAAACTACTCGCCACGCCTTGGTTGCAAATCCCCAACCGCTCCAAACCACTCTGCACACCCTCCTCCCGCTGCTGCTGGAAATCCCGAGCAGGATGGGGAGCAGAGGAGGGAGAGAAGGGCAGGTGGAGGGAGAAGGTGGAGCCGTGGCGGGGGGAGGAGGCGACGGAGATGCAGCCCCCCATGAGCGCGGCGAGCGAGCGACAGATGGAGAGACCCAGGCCCGTGCCGCCGTGCTTGCGGCACGACGAGTCGTCCACCTGCCAGAAGGGGGAGAAGAGCCGCGTCATGGCATCTGCTGATAGGCCCATGCCTGTGTCCTTCACGTCTACTCTCACCCACACCCGCACCCGCCCCTTCTTCGCCTCCTCCTCCACGCCTCTACCGTTTCTCCTACTGCCTTTCTCGCCGCTGCTGTTCCGCCCTTCCCTGTTGCTTTCTGCCGCTCGCCCCTTCCGCTCTGCTGTTGTTCCTTCGGGTTTGAAAGGCGGATTGGCTAGGGTAGGGATATGGGAGTGGAAGGAGGGGTTGGAGACAGCAGCAGCATCGGCTGCGGCATCAGAGGCAGCACAGCTGGCAACAACAGCAATCGCTGCGTCGTCGGAACGCACCATACTGTCCCCCCCTTCGCCTGCTGCAGCTGCTGCAGCGTCTGACGTGGGATGCTCCAGTGCTGTTGGGGCTGCTGCTGCTGCTGCCAAGCCTGGGCTCTCTGCTACATCCATGGCCTGACCTGCTGTCACCGCATCGGCTGGCGCAGCTGCTACATCCATGGCGTCCCCTGCTCCCGCTACAGCCGGCTCTGAAGCAGCCGTGCCAGCACCTGCAGCAGCTACAGCTGGCGTTACAGCTGGCGAGTCCGACGCTCTGGAGGGGCAGGAGAGAGAGGCAGCAGCGAGACCGGCCCGAGCAGCAGCAAGAGAGGCAGTGGCGGGAGTGAGCATCCACGGCTCGTTCATTATTCGATCCAGATCCTCCCTCAACTTCTGCTTTGCTAACTCCTCATCCATGCCTTCCTCCCCTCCTCCTCCCCCCCAACTTCCCCCGCCCCTTTCTCCCGCTCTTCCTCCTGCTCCTGCTCCTGCTCTTGCTGCTGCTGCTGATGTTTCATCCATGTTATGCGTACCTCCCTGCCTTGGCTGATCCTCCTCCCTCTCCTGCTCTCTAGCACACAATCCGCTCTCCATGCACCCTTCCACCTGTTCGGCTGCAAGCCTCCATGCCTCTCCTGCCACCATCTCCTCATCCGCACCTGGCGAAGCCACTACGTGACGAACTTCCCCACCGGCGTCAGACTCAAAGGGGTTGGGGGAGAGGGCGGCGGAGAGGAGGACGCGGCCGTGGTCGGTGAACTTGATGGCGTTGGAGAGCAGATTGAGCAGAATCTGCCGAACCCGCAGCTGGTCGCCCTCCACCCACTCCGGCACACCCCCGCCCATGCTGCTCTGCAACTGTAGGAAGGGAGGGAGGGGAGGCAAGGAATGAAGGGGATGGGGGGAAGATGAGAATGACCCGCAGCTGATCCCCCTCCACCCACTCCGGCACAGCCGCGCTCACCCGGCTTTGCAACTGCGGAAAATAGTTAGCAACGAAAGGAATTAGAAAGAAGCATATGGCAAAAAAACGATAACAAACGAACATAGGATTGCATACAAATGTCCATGCATATCATATTGAATTATTTGGCATCAACGATACTAATAACATATGTAGTGTAACATAGAAAGGACGCATGAAGCCTTCTTCATAACAAAAAAAATATGAAGCTTAAAAAATAACATGCTTTAATACAACAATGTACATATGTAGTATATATTAACCTTAACATGCATGTATACATACACGTACATAATGCGTCGTAAGTATTCATATACATATATTAACTTATGTGTATATGAACATCCATGTTAAATACATACATTTGCATATGTACCATAATTGCTTGTGAAGCACATTGCTCACCTTAAGTTTCTTGCTTTCGGCTGCGATCCTCACGGCCTCCACGGCCTCGTTCACAGTGTCGTGCAGGTTGAACGGAGAGTGATCCAGAACCAAGGATTTCGTCTCAATCCTCGAGATGTCAAGCACATCCGAGATGATATGGATGAGCGCGTTCCCGGAGGAGGAGATGACGTCCACGTAGGAGCGCTGCTGCGGGGTGAGGGGGGTGCGGAGGAGCAGCTCGGCGACACCGATGACGCCATTCATGGGGGTGCGCAGCTCATGGCTCATGTTCGCCAGGAACCGGTTCTTCGCCTCGTTGCCCGCCTCCGCCGCCTCCTTGGCCGCCTTCAGCTCCTCCTCCTTGCGCTTCATCTCCGTTATGTCGTGCCACACCGATACGTAGTACGAGATCCCGTTCACCGTCACCACCTGGAGAATAGAGAGGCGGGGACCAAAGAAAAAAAAAAACACAACATCAGGGAGAAAGAAAACCCAATATTAGAAACCCTGAAACGATGGCCTGAAACATACGGGTGCATCTTACTTACTCTCACCTTGCCCTTGACAAGAACCGTGCACGGGCGGCCGTCCAATGAGAACATGTCCCACTCAAAGGGCGGCAGGCCGCCCTCTCTCAAAATCTCGTCCAGAATCTCCAGGAAATACTCCAAGCTTCGCCGCCCGTTTGCCTGGAACTCGGGGGACTGCTTGACAATGCTGAGGTTGGCCAGTGTGGCAGATTTGGAGGGGAAGCCGATGATTTGCACGGTGGCATCGTTGCAATCCCGGAGGGTGAAGTCGGGGATTGTGAACACCTGGATGGGGTCCTGTGTGGGTATGGGGGGCGGGAGAGGGGGGGAAAGCGGGTTGGGAAAAGGAGGGACGAGGGACGGAGGCAATAACTTGTGCAGACGCTTTGAAAGGGTAACCAATGATCTGAAATTAGTTTTGAGAATTCTCAAAACTAATCTCAAAGGGTAACCAATGATCTGAACCGTGGCGTCGTTGCAGTCCCGGAGGGTGAAGTCTGGGATTGTGAACACCTGGATGGGGTCCTGTGGAGCGGAGCGGGGATGAGAAAGGAACGGCGAGAGGGGAGGAGAAGAGTGATTAGAAGGGGATAAGTGGGTAACACGCAGGCGCATCCCGCGCCTTGCCTGTCCAGTTCAAGGCGCAGGATGCGCTGACGCAAAGTAGCAGGTAGGGTGAAGAGCTGGGCATGAACTGTCCGTTCCACTCACAATGGAGAGGTAAAAGATGGCTCGGAACTTGGCATTCTCGTGGCCCAGGAGCAGTAGTGGTGCAGGCACAGCAGAGTGGGAGCAAGCTGAACCAACGTTGTAGGTACGGTTACGACGCGGTGAATATGAGGTGCACTCACAATGGACAGGTCAAAGATGGCTCGGAACTTGGCATTCTCGTGGCCCAGGAGCAGTAGTGGTGCAGGCACAGCAGAGAGTGGGAGCAAGCTGAACCAACGTTGTAGGTACGGTTACGACGCGGTGAATATGAGGTGCACTCACAATGGAGAGGTCAAAGATGGCTCTGAACTTGGCATTCTCGTGGCCCAGGAGTAACGCCTCCCTCACTTGCTCTATCAGCCACTCCGCCTCCTTCCACATACACACCCGCCCCTCCCCCCCACTGTCAACACCACCACCAGCAGCATCAGCACCACCAGCACCAGCACCAGCAGCACCAGCAGCACCAGCAGCACCAGCACCAGCACCAACGCCATCACCGGCAGCACCTCTGGCCACAGCAACAGCATGAGCAGAAGAACCGTGAGAATGCTTGGTCGCGCCATGCATGGAAGCAACACCAGTGGCAGCAGCATCAGTGGCAGCAGCATCGGTGGCAGCAGCATCGGTGGCAGCAGCATCGGTGGCAGCAGCATCGGTGGGAGCAGCATCGGTGACAGCAGCATCGGTGACAGCAGCATCGGTGACAGCAGTTTGAGGGGCACCGGGGGGTGGTTGAGGCGGTGTTGGGTGCGATGGCGTGGCGAGCTGCGCACACTCCCTCAGCTGCTGCAGCATAAGCACCTGGACCCAGGGAACAGAGGGGGGCAGAGGGGTAAGAGAGAGAAGTGAGGGTGACGACTGGAACACTCCCCCAGCTGCTGCAGCCATTGGTGACTTTTGAGTCGACTCAAAAGTCACCTCTACGAGAGAAAAGTGAGGGTGATGACTGGAACACTGCCCCAGCTGCCGCTGCACTTGTTCCGAGGGAAAAGAGCGAAAGGAGAGAGAGGAGGGGGGCGGACAGAGACAACGAAACCCCACCCCATCTCAAAGCTACCATTCCCGAAAACGCTCACCTGACGCAGTCTCTGCTCTGTGGCATCAACGAAGGTGCAGAGAACCATCCTTTGGTCCTTCCGCCCATCCTTGGCACTCGTCGTCAAATTCGTTGCACGCGAAGCCAGTGACGAAGCCAGGGACACCGACACTTCAAACCACCGCCACTCGTTACTGATGCTGCTGCTGCTGCTGCTCCTGCTGCTGCCCCTCCGACCCGCCTCCCCTTCAATTTCCCCAACCTCGCCCTCCCTCTGCTCCTTTCCCACCTCTGCGCCCATCTCCCCTTCAGCCAATGCCTCCCCTTCGCCCCCCCCGCCCCGTTTCCCATCCTCGCCCAGTCCTCGTACTGCCAGCCGCACCCAGACCTGCCGCTTCCGCCTGCTGCTGTCCGCTGCGCACTCCCCCACAGCTGCCTGCGCGAGGGCGGATCGGGGGAAGGGGAGATGGGGGGATGGGGAGATGAGGGGAAGGGGAGATGGAGGGATGGGGAGATGAGGGAGAGGGAGATGAGGAATGGGGAGATGGAAAGGTTGAAAAGATGGAAGGATGGGGAGATAGAGGGATGGCAGGAGGGTCAAGGAGAAAATGAAAGTTTTTTACCGGCATCAGATATAGCCCTCAGATCCATTAATATTCTACCTCATGCGACAGTCTTCAGCTTTATTACGCGGCTCACCTCCACAGCGGCTCTATCGGAAGGATGAACACACGCGCTTTCCGAACAGGTCGCTTTGCGGCAAATTTTTTAACTCAGAAATATATCCCTGACAATCTTCAGCTGCATTGCTCGCTCACCCCCTGGGTCATTTTTGTCCCGGAGGATGAGCGAATTTCAGGTCATTTTTGTATCTATCGACTCAGAAATATATCCCTGACAATCTTCACTGGCAGCAGCATTGCTCGCTCACCTCCAGGGCGACTCTATCCTCCGAGTCGGAGGGGTGAACGAGCGACTGCACGCGCTTCCCGGACAGGTGGCATTGAGACTCAGGTCTTGGATAACAGCTCTACTACTTGCTGGGCTCACCTCCAGGGCCTCTCTATCGGAGGGGTGAACGAGCGACTGCACGCGCTTCCCGGACAGGTCGCTTTGCGGCACGCCGAGCATATCGGCCAGAGCAGCGCTGTTGCAAGCAGCGGGACCGGGTAATAAAGAAAGGAGTTCAGACGTCAGGTCTTCGACACGCACGCGGACGCTAAGAACTTTTCAACAACTTTTACTAAAGAGGGCGTGGCAGCTTGTGATCCGGATCGCAATGCAGTTTTAATCCACTTACCCCCCTTACCCACGCAAGTTGAGCCGTTTTAGTACCTGCATTGCGCTAGCCGCTGATCCCTCGCGTCCCCACCGCTCACGGCCACCAGGACAGCGGGAACCGCCAGGAGAAGCGAACTCTTAAAAATGTCCATAACGTTTTCAGCCATGGCTGTTAAAATCTCGCCGATATTTGGGCACAGACTGTTAGCATCGCTAGTTATTATAAGTATTGGGACGCATGTGTGCTTATATACTATGTTAGCATAAACGTAACTACAGGGATCCTTTCCATGAAAACTAGGTCGGACCTGAGGGAACCAGCTGCTATCTGAAAACGGGCTAGATAAAAATGCCCTTCAATCCCTGGTTGGACTTTGCCTTGCTGACTTTCTTTCGCATGAGATGGAATTACAAGTGTCTGGTAAGGGTTTGAACAAGGAATCCAGCTGCCTTGAACGAAATCACATATACACGTCGTTCAGCTGGTTACAAGGTCGCACGAACTTCAAATGCAGCAAAGCAGCTGTGAAGTGGACGATAACGGGGGTCGCATCGCAACGCAAGCACTGGTCATCCCTTCCGCTGCTAGGGTCTGTGAGGGAGGGAAGCTACAGTGGTAGCATCTGGGCACAGAGCGACAGAATCTGGTTTCGCTTGCCTCGACTTTGTCACACTGTATTGAAGCACGCCGAAATCCGTGCACTGATCCGCGGCTATCGGATTTTTCTCCAACTACATGGCACACCAGCTGGTTCTGGCAGCAGAGCAGAACAGAGGTCACGCACGTTTGTCAAGTAACTGCTGATGCCAAGACTTTTTTCACGCTCTTTAATCTCCTCGTTCTGTCGGTGTAACAGTGTAATCAGAATATGCCAAGTACTTGATAAACCTTATTCACAGTCGATCTATCATAAACTCGACCCACTATTAACATGTTTAATAAATTTCTGGAACTCTCCCAAACTCCGTCACCACAAAATATATCGTCGGTTCTCTAGAAACATCGAGAATCCAAAATATTGTCCCATTTGCCAGTCGGAAGGGGGGAAACATTTATGGAGTCCGTGCACACGGGCATCAGAGAGGAATCGAGACACGTCAGCCACAGCCAATATGGCAATGGTTGCTTCCTTGTACAGTGCGTACTTCCTGCCGTGGTGATTTGCTCCGTATCGACTGCATCAATACAGCTGGCAGATGTGCAAAAAATTGCAACGATGTGTTTCGATTCGAAGCTGGGGCACTCTGTAAAGTGGCAATTACAAACTACCCGGGAAATTGGACTTCAGTCAGACGAACACATACCTCAGTTGCACTTCAGCCCAGCAGATGTCAGCTGGAGGGGGACACACAAGTCGAAACACTCTTTGTGCATGACGGCTGCAACTGGTTTGCCTGCCTACCGCTTACGGATTCCAGTATGGTACCTTCTTCTGATCGTCCACATGCAGACTAAGGTCCAAGCAGTCTAAAGAAATCTGCTTGTGAAACTTGCTTCACTGTCCAGCCAACCATGCACTCCCATTACCCTTGTACATTGTTCACTAACTGGAGCAATACTGATTGTATGTCCCTCAACCTGACTGGTTTGGCAATAAAGCCATCCATCCCTACGCTTGCACATCTGTCCTGTTCATGCTTGAGCACACTAGCTGTGACTGCATAAATGGCGGACCTTTGAACAACCCTGTCATGTGGGCTTTCCTCCCCTCTCTGAGCATCCAATGCTGATTGTCTGTCCGACAGGGTTGTATTTTTCATATCTGCTGTTCCGGAATCGGATTGTAGCTTCCGAATGCGAGTGGTGGCTTCAAACCCATCCATTACTGGCATGTGACAATCCTGAAAATAGAAAAAGGGTACCCAAAAAAAAAAAAAACAAATGGCGCCATCATCATGAGCTTGTGGTGATGAATTGAAAGAGTTTGGAATAATCTGGCCATGACGCTGATGTAGGGAGGACATATGAGAAACACGAACAAGGACTGACCATGAAGATGATGTGGTAGTTGGTGGATAAGGGACGGCGAGAAGGACCAAAGCGAATGAGGGAGCAAGTGGACACACCATGAAGATGACGTGGCAGTTGGTGGACTGACCATGAATATGACGTGGCAGTTGGTGGACTGACCATGAAGATGACGTGGCAGGTGGTGGACTGACCATGAAGATGACGTGGTAGTTGGTGGAGCGGCAGGCCTCCACGGCCTTGTGCCCATTCTCTGCCACGTCACACGAGACTCGCAGGTTCCTCAGCAGCTGCACCACCACCATGCGATTCACCGCGTTGTCCTCCACCACCAGGCACCGCAGCCCCTCAAACACCCCGCCGCAAGACGGGGACTTGGGAAATCCGCCACCCTTAGAGGGCGACTTTGGGGATTTCCCATTATTAGAGGGGGATTTGGGAAATACGCTGCCCGTAGAGGGGGGCTTGGAAAATGCGCCACCATTAGAGTGCGACTTGGGAAATAACCCATTCGACGGGGACTTGAGATGTGCACCTGCTACAACCTCTTCAAGAGGCATCCTTGTCTCACCATGTCTATCCCTCCATAACCTGCTTTCTCGCATCTGCTCACCACCTTCCCCCTCCTGACCTTCCTTTGTTGAGCCAGCAGCACCTTCGATTCTCACCCCCTTGCAACCTTGGCCTGTCTCAAACACCTCTCTGCCTTTACCTGACTCAGTTGCATCTTCCACACTCTGTCTCCCCATCACACTTCCACCAACCGGTTTCACACCACACCCCTTCTCCTCTGATCCATGCTGCTGCTGCTGCTGCTGCTGATGATGATGATGACGATGATCTCCAGCATGACTGGCCTGCAGCTCCTGCTGGTTCCCGTCATAACTCTGCTGCGCTGGCGCCACTGGCAGCACCGGGAAAACCCCACAGTCAGCCACATTTTCCAGCAAAAAGGATCGGGTCCTCTTGTGCCCCCGGCGCCTCTCACTGCCCTTGTGCTTCTGTGCCCCCTCCCGGTGACCACTGCTACCAGCAGCACCAGCAGCAGTCACAGCCACAGCAGCGGGAGCAGCAACAAGAGCAGCCGTAGGAGCAGGAGCAGCAGAAGCAGCAGGAACAGTGGCAGCACCACCAGCCCCGAAACGCTCACCACAATGACCACTCTCGTCTGGCTGCGATGCAGGAGAGAAGGGCAGGTGGAGGGAGAAGGTGGAGCCGTGGCGGGGGGAGGAGGCGACGGAGATGCAGCCCCCCATGAGCGCGGCGAGCGAGCGACAGATGGAGAGACCCAGGCCCGTGCCGCCGTGCTTGCGGCACGACGAGTCGTCCACCTGCCGGAACGGCGTGAACAGCCTCGTAAGGGCGTCGGTGGAAATACCCTCTCCGGTGTCCTTTATGTCTATCCGCACCCACACCACTGCCCTCCGCTCCTCCCCATCCCCATCCCCATTCCCATCTCCATCGCCGTCTCCATGATCATCCCCATCCCCATGCTCTTGCGCACAGGCGTGCCCTTCCCCATGCGCATCCCTTTCAGCGTGCTCTCTCCCCCCTCTCCTCCCAGGCCCACTGCCCCTTGCATCTGGTCTCTCCTGCACTATTGCTGCCCCTGCCCCTGCATCATCAACCACGTCCCTGGCATGACCCGCCCCACACTCGCCCTCCCCGCCTCTAACCACATCCCCTAGGACCTCCTCGTTTCTGTCACCTTCCTGCCTCCACGCATCCAAAGAAAGGGAGTGTGGGAAAGCAGTCACGACCGGGTGCAGAGCAGCCATCAAGAGCGCAGCATCTTCTGCTGCATCAGCTGCTGGAGCGTCTGCTGAAGCATCTGCTGGAGTCTCTGCAGGGGCTGACGCTGACAATGCCATTTGAGGCGCCACATGAGTGAGTGGGTGCAGGGAGGTGATTGCGAACACAGCATTGTCTGCTGCAGCATCGGCTGCATCGGCTGCAGCATCGGCTGGGGCTGATGCTGATATTGCCCTCTGAAGAGAACGTGCAGGGGCGAGTGGGTGCAGGGAGGTGATCGAGAACACTGCATCGTCCGCTGCCACATCTGCTGCCGCTGATGCAGCCACAGCCATGAACTCAGGATCCACACTCTCACCACTCTCACCACTCTCACCACGCTCACCACTCCCGCTACGCTCACTGCCGCTATTCCCCTCGTTGGGTGCTCTCCCAATCCGAATTATCTCCTCCCTGTGAGCAGCGTATGCAGCCCCTGGCTCTGCTGCTGTTCCAACCACTGGTTCCTCTGCTGCCAAATCCGTTGCATCTGCTTCTGTCACTGCTTCTGCTCCGACCCCTGCCTCTGCTTCTGCTGCAGCCTTTGCCTCTGCCGCTCCAGCCTCTACCTGTGCTGTCTCACCATGCCGCTGCTTCTTCCCAGCAGACACAAAGGCTCCTTCCGCTCCCTTCTCGGCATTGCCGAGCCGCCGTTTCCTCCCTGTAGGCACAACGCCGCCCGGCTGTTCCCCAGACTCAAAGGGCGAGTCGAGGGGATCTCCGCTTTCAGGGTCGACGGGCTTCTCAGTTTCATGGTCGAAGGGGTTGGGGGAGAGGGCGGCGGAGAGGAGGACTTGGCCGTGGTCAGTGAACTTGATGGCGTTGGAGAGCAGATTGAGCAGAATCTGCCGAACCCGCAGCTGGTCGCCCTCCACCCACTCCGGCATGCCGCCGCCCACGCTGCTGTGCAACTGTGGGAAGATAGGGGTGACGGTTGAAGAGAAGGCAGGCCAGGAGGTTCAATGAGAAGATTTCGCAAAGCAGCGAGGGGACAGAAGGCGGGAAGCAGGAAACGGGAGATGGGAGATGGGAGATGGGGGATGGGAGATGGAAGATGGGAGATGGGGGATGGGAGACATGGAGCAGGGTTGAAACGTGTCCAGATGGTGAAGAATTTCAAACTAGATAGCAGCCACGACCACTTTCACAACCAAGGCAGAACTGAGTTGAATAAATATCTATCTCTTACCGCGAGTTTCTTGTTCTCTGCAGCCGGCCTCACCGCCTCCACGCATTCAGCCACCGTCTCTCGGAGGTTGAACGGGCAGCAGTCCAGCAGCAGCGAGTTGGTCTCAATCTTGGTAATATCAAGCACATCCGATATAATATGGATGAGCGCGTTGCCGGAGGAGGAGATGACGTCGACGTAGGAGCGCTGCTGCGGGGTGAGGGGGGTGCGGAGGAGCAACTCGGCGACACCGATGACGCCATTCATGGGGGTGCGCAGCTCATGGCTCATGTTCGCCAGGAACCGGTTCTTCGCCTCGTTGCCCGCCTCCGCCGCCTCCTTGGCCGCCTTCAGCTCCTCCTCCTTGCGCTTCATCTCCGTTATGTCGTGCCACACCGACATGTACAGGCGCTCGCCGTTGATCATTACCATCTGCAGAGGAAAGAGATGAAGGGACTCGTACAGTGTCGGGGGTGCAAAAACCAGATTTGCAGCATCTCAAATGTCCATCTTTCATCTCTGTGATGTCCTGCAGGAAGGACATGTACAAGCGCTCTCCATTGACCATTACCATCTGCAGAGAGTCGAGACGTAGGCATGTTGTTGGGGTCCGGGATGTAGGGGCGTATGGCGTCGGCTATTTTGTGGCATCTTTACAACCAGGCGTTTCATCTCCAGCAGGTCGTCCTACAGCGACATGTAGGGCTCCGCTCACCTTGACCTTCACCAGCACGTGACACTCTGAGCCATCCAATAGGGTGTGCACCCGAATGGCGCACATATTATGGAGCTTTCGCTTACCTTGGCCTTCACCAGCACGTGAAGCTCTGAGCTGTCCAATCAGGTGTGCACCCACTCGAACGGCGCAAACTGCGTTCATTCTAGTGCATACAAATCAGAGCTCCCTCTCACCTTAACTTTCACCAGCACATGAAACTCTGAGCCATCCAATCGGGTGTGCACCCACTCGAATGGCGCACACTCCCCGTGCTCCATCAGCTCCACCAGAATCCCCTTGAATAGCTCCAAACTTTGCCGCCCACACGGCTGTAGCACAGGGGAGTGTTTGAGGAGGTAGCCCTTGGGCAGGCTCGCCAGGGCGGCAGACGTGGAGGGGAATCCGAGGATGTGGGCGGCAGCGGGATTGAGGTCATGCAGTATTTGTTCCATTGAGTTGATGAAAATAGGATCCTGCGGGGAGGTAGAAGGAGAGGACGGGGAAAGACTAGAGGCGAATTGAGGCGAAGAAAACGGGTTGAGACAGAGTGGTGGTGGGAGGGGGACGAGTGGAGAGTGGTGGTGGGAGGGGGACGAGTGGAGAGAGTGATGGTGCTTGTCGAATATCGCCGTCTCACCATCGACATCTCAAAAATTGCATGGAGCTTGGCACTTTCGTGGCTCCACTGCATTCTTTAGACATCTCAAAGGTCATGGACATCTCAACGTCTCGAATATCGCTGTCTCACCATGGACATCTCGAAGATTGCATGGAACTTGGCACTTTCATGGCTCCACTGCAGCGACTGCTTGACTCCCTTGAGCAGAGCCACCATCTGCTGCAAAGCGTCCATACTGTCATCTGACGATTTGAAATCGTCATACTGTCCATTTGAAGTCGTCTGAGGCGCCTCAGACGTAGTCAACGCGGCCATGTTCCCATCTCCGCCCTCCACACCGGCGCCACCTCTGCACCCTCTACTCGCACCGTCAATCCCACTCGCCTCTCCACCTCCTGCCGCCTGCTCTCCCCTCCCGCCACCCTCCTCACCGTGCTCCGCCTCCCTGCCACCACCGCATCTGTCAACGCCACTCTTGCTGCTCCTGCTGCTGCCTGCCTGCTGCTGTTCCTCTCCCTCGATTGAAGCAGGGCGGGCGACTCTGACGGGGGTGACGACGGGTGGTGACTCATGCTGTGAGCTATGATGGTGCAAGTCATTGTTCGCAGCCATGTCCTGGTGAGAGGCCATGACAGGCACAACGGAATCCTTCAACCTCTGCAGCATGAGATCCTGCCAGGGGAAGAGAGCATAGCGAGGGAGAGAAGCAAGAAATGATATCAAAATCGGTCAAACGTGGAGAGACGGTGGGGAAACAGTGGAGAGACGGGGGAGGACGGACAGTGGGGAGACAGTGCAGGAAAGACAGTGGAGAAATACTTTCCTCCTTCTCACCTCTTGCTTCCTCCGCTCGGAAATGTCCAGGAAAGTGCAGAGAACCATCCTTGGCTCGCGGGCTCCGCCACTCGGACCTTCCCGGGCTGTTTCTTCAGGAGGCGGTCCGTGTGAAGATGTACACGTGGCGGCCCCCTCACGAGGACACGTGGCAAGAGAGACGGACATCTCAAGCCATCGCCACTCACTGCTGCATATACTGTTGGTGTCTTCCTCCTCTCTCCCTTTTCTCCTCCCATCTCCCTCCTCTCCCTTTACCTGTCCCTCCTCTCCCTTTACCTGTCCCTCCTCTCCCCTTCCATCTCCCTGACTCTCTCCCCTTGCTTCTACCCTCTCATCCCCGTTCTGCTCTCGCCTATCGTTCCCTCCTAGGGCAGTCAGCCTCACCCCAACGCGCCTCTTGGTCCTGCCGCCATCCGAGGCATCCCATCCAGTCAGCACAGCCTGTGCCGGAAGATTGAGAGACAAGGGAAATGGGAACGATTGAAATGCGGCGAACAAGACTTGAGACCAAGATGGTGACGAGAAAGATTGAGATGCCGCAAATTCCGCTCAACACACGGATAATTACACCCTTGTTCATTGAAGTAGTAAATAGCTGTTGGATGCACACAGCTGCCATGATGTAAGAAGGAACAGGCTCCGCACAATGAATTTCCGAGGAGCGCAAGTTGGGTCCTGCGAGAGATGGTGCTTGCCTGAGCAGAAGCTCGGTCTGCTGGGTGAACCAAGGGGAGGAAGCTCCTTCCGATCATTTGCGAGTGTCCGCATTGCGCGCCGAGCAGATCCAACAGTGCAGAGCTGCTTGGAACCAGGACACGTGCACCGGGAAACACGCCGGATGAGCGAAGATCACGGATCCTTAGCGGTGAAAACGATGTCTCAGCATGGTTAGAAAAAAGGTAATTACTTAGTCGGTGATCATGCAGATGGGGCGAAGCACTGATAAACAGATTAGCCTCGGGGTCTGCTGCAGGGTCGACACTCTTCCAATGATGCGCATGCGCTCTCGCTTTTTGAGGCGCAACTTATCATCAACTTTTGTCTTTAATTGCTTATCCTGAATAGAAGAGGCTCGCAGCGAGGCACACGGTGTGGGAGCTCAATTGCACTTTTTAGCTTGTCTATCCCAACCTTTCCCGCGTACCTGGATTGCACAATTCGATTCTCCCTCGCGTCGCTGCTGACGGCAAGCAGAGCAGCGGGAACAGCTTGAAACAGAGAGTCCTGTAGAAGTGACGAAAAGGTCGACATAATCTCTAGATGAACTCCAACTCCATTACTAAAGTATACGACTTAGGTGTCGAACACCTATACCCCTCATATACACCAGCTTTCAATATTGACCGTGATAATTATATTAAAGATTGGATTAGAAATTGGTTTTCCGTGTGTCCTGAAACTCGGATCTCAAGGTGGGCTGTATCCCAAGCACTACTTGTACACAGAACATAAAAAAGCATTCAGGTTCCTGCTATGGGAAAGTCACGCGGTTGTAGGTTTAGTGCACGTCTTGGAATTCCTAGGATGTAAGCATAACCGCAAAACAAGCTCAATGGAAGGGTTCGCTGGTCAGGACGCTGTCCTGACAAGGGTCGAGCAACCCTTCCTGGTAGTAGGAGCCGCTCATCCAACACGAGCAGGATGGACGTAGAAACGAACAGACCATACCGCAAGGATCTCAGATCAGGCTGTTTTTGACACCACCAAGGCTTCTGATTCCGTTCTGCTCAGACAATCTGAGAAATGTTCCGCAGCAGCCATCCAAAGTAGCAGAAGGGTCACCCAATGCACTCGGCAGTTTGCTTGCGAGACGGAGGATTCCAAAGCAAATCGACAGGAGACTTGATGCCGTCGGGATCGGATGCGTAGTGACGTGGACGGATGGGATGTGAGGAGCAGACAGGCACGCGATGCAAGGAATGACGTGAGATGGGACGAAATCTGGGGTGGGATGAAATGAAATGGGATGGGATCTTGAGATCAAGGGATGCGATGTGGTGGAAAGAGTTGTAATTTGCGGTGAGATTGGATAGGCAAAAAGGGACCAATGGGCGCGGTCACTTACTCATTGCGATTCGCGCATACACTGCTGCTTTTCACGAGATTTTGTTTCACGTGGACCCAGTCCGTGCTGGCAAAGGGAGTGACGGAGTATCTGATGCGATGGGATGCCGATGATTCTGGTTAGAATCAATGCCACCCGCGGGTGGTTTAGATTATTAGGGCTAATCACCCTAGTCCTTCAAGGTCAGTGTCCACGCTTCCTGAAGCTGACACCGTCGTCACCGTCGGTATTTTCCCCTTTTGAAATCCCCGTACCATATCTTTCCAGTGGGACTACAGTCCACATAGAGTCTACATAACCAGAGGTTCGCATTATTGGGCTGAGATGCCCTCGGATCTTTGTACAGTTAAAGTCTGAGTAGGATTGTAATAGCGGAAGCGTTTGAATGAAAAGTCCTTGAACCACCTTGCGCTAGTATGTGAGGGCAAAGTAAGTTGATTAAAACAAGCAAATACAAGGCTTTATATAAGAGTACAAGGAATACGAATAGATATAATTAAACTGTTCTGCTGTTGCGATTCGATACAGTGCGACTCGGGCAACTGCTCAATGTCGAGTCAGTTGTGAGTCCTTGCTGTCGCGCTTTATTTGTCAAGTCAAAGGTCGCTGACTTTTGACCTTCGCCTAACCTCCAGGCGGTTACCCTAACCTCCGAGGGTTGACTCGCGATGCTTCGATTTGGACTGCTTCGCTTGTGTCCTGAGTTTCGACACGACAGAGGCGCTTTAAGACTTATTGTTCCCAACTCTCCCGTTCGCTTCTGGAGTGTCGCTAATGGTGACGTGGCCTTGTCCAGTCAGCAGCATGCACTAGTCGAACTTCTGTTTTCCGAGTTTCTTGGTCAAGTAATCGGCTGCCATCTCGGACGTGGGACAGTAGGATAATTCGAGTTTCCCTTTCTCGATCTCGTCTTTCACGAAGAAGTATCGCAGAGCGATATGCTTCGTTCTGTTCGCGAATCCGCTTTTGTTGGCGATGCGAATTGCAGATTGGTTGTCGCAGAATAGGGTGAAGTTGGGTAACTCGGCTAACTTTGCTTCTTCCAGCAGCTCGCGAAGGTAGAGTCCTTCCTTGGTGGCTGAGCAGAGGGCGATATATTCTGCTTCAGCTGAAGAGAGAGCGATAAGTTCCTGCTTGCTCGACTGCCAGGAGATAGGTCCGATAGGCTCGAGACGATAGACGTAGCCAGTGCGAGAGCGCCTATTGTCGGAATCGCCGGCATGATCGGCATCGACGTAGCCGATTAGTTTCGTGGTCGTACTTTCGTTTTTGTAGTAAGTCAGGCCGATCGTCGGAGTGCTCACGAAGTAGTGTAGTGCGCGATCGAGCTCCGCCAGGTGCTCTGCTTTTGGTTTCTTGAGGTAGGTAGCGAGTTGGCTTGCGGAGTAGGATAGATCCGGGCGGCAGGTGACGGCTGCGAAGAGGAGGCAGCCCAGTTTCCTCTGGTAGTCTCGTATTCCGGCAGCTTTGAGTGGAGCGGAATTTCCTTTGTTACTTCCTGCCGTGTAGCGGTATGGCGTGGTGATAGCGGTAGGTGTGAGCGAGAAGCGCTTGGCGATAGTGTCGCGTATTTCTCGGCGCTTAAGTAGATAGCATTTTCTTCTTCGCGGATGTTGAGCCCGAGGTACTGGGTGACGGTAGAAGAAACCGTGAGCGTGAGGTCCTTCCGCAACTCCCTTTCGAACCAGGTGGTGATGTCGTCGGTGGAGCCGATGTAGAGTAGGTCGTCGACGTAGACGATCAGTAGGATGTAATCGGCGTCTTTAGTGAATCGATACATTCCTTGGTCGTGCGGCAGTTGGCGGAATCCGATGCGAGTGAGTCGGGTGTGTAGGTGCTGTTGCCACAGCCGCGGGGCTTGTTTGATTCCGTAGAGCGATTTCAGTAGCTGGCAGACCTGATTGTGGTTTCCGTGGGTACCGTGTGGGAGTTCGACGAAGATTTCGGCGTCGACGGGTGTCAAACATTATATATGTTGTTGTAGTTGTTTAGGCTACAGTGGGTTAGCCTATAGGGGGTACACATTCCTAGGTTTTCATACTTGTACTCATTTCACTCTTAGTTCATTCATTCTTGTTCAACATGGTATCAGAGCAGGTCCTTCCTAGGACCGATTTTTTAGGGCCCACCACTACCTACCTACCTACCTGCGCCCTAGGGCGCCTCGGCTTTCACGCCCCTAGAGGCCCCGTCGGCCCCGCGCTCTCGCACCTAGAGGCCTCGGTCAGCCCCGCGCTCGCTTTTAGAGGCCCCGAGTCGGCCCCGCGCTTACCCCTAGAGGCCCGCGTCGGCCCCGCGCTCGTCCTTACCGGCCCCGATCGGCCCCGCGCTCGTCCCTCACGGCCCCGATAGGCCCCGCGCTCGCCCTTAGAGGCCCACGTCGGCCCCGCGCTCGTCCCTTACGGCCCCGATCGGCCCCGCGCTCGTCCCTCACGGCCCCGATAGGCCCCGCGCTCGCCCTTAGAGGCCCACGTCGGCCCCGCGCTCGTCCCTTACGGCCCCGATCGGCCCCGCGCTCGTCCCTCACGGCCCCGATAGGCCCCGCGCTCGCCCTTAGCACCCACGTCGGCCCCGCGCTCGCCCTTAGCACCCACGTCGGCCCCGCGCTCGTCCCTCACGGCCCCACCCGCTCCCCGCGCTCGCCCTTAGCGGCCCCGAACGGCCCCACCCAGACCGACCTTGGAGAGCCGCCTCGTTCTCCTCCAACCCGGAACGTCGACAACAAGGCCATGCTGGCCTTGTGTCGGGAGCAGAGACTGGAGCACAGAACAAAGCACATTGCTCTCCGCTACTTCCTTGCTCGTGAGCTACAGCAGCGTGGTCAGTTCCGACTTGCGTACGTGGCCTCTGAGGCCAACACTGCTGATGTCTTCACCAAGGCCCTTCCGCCTTGTGATCATCAGCGCTGCTGTACCTAGCTGGGTCTTGTGTCTGTCTTGCCTCACTTGCTCTCCTCTTGACCCTCTTTGTACTATTACATATATATATCACTGCTCTTGCATGTTTAGTCTTATATACATATATATATCTGTACTCCTGCATGTGAACTGGCCTTGTGGCCTTGCACTTGTGCTTGGATTGTGTGGTGACGTTGTGATCCACCCTGAGTTTGCTTTGTTTTGCTTTACTTGACTGGTCTTGTGACCCCTAGTTCTCCCCCACTTCGCCTATGGGGGTGTGTCAAACATTATATATGTTGTTGTAGTTGTTTAGGCTACAGTGGGTTAGCCTATAGGGGGTACACATTCCTAGGTTTTCATACTTGTACTCATTTCACTCTTAGTTCATTCATTCTTGTTCAACAACGGGTGCGTAGAGAAATGCGTTGGCGACATCGATTTGTCGCGGTTTCTTCTTCTTCATGGCGGCAACGGCGAGAAGAATTCGAGGAGAGGTATGTTGACTAACTGGGGCGAATGTCTCGGTGAAGTCTCGTCCTTGCTCTTGGTCGAATCCACGCACGACCCAGCGTTCTTTGAACTTCTCGTTTGTGCCGTCTACTTTCGTTTTGATGCGGAAGACCCATTTCCCGGTGAGAATGGTCTTGTTCCTTGCCACGCTTGCGGGAACGACCTTCCAAGTGTTGCGTTCCTCCAGTGCCTTTAACTCTCTGTCCATGGCTTCGCGCCATTTCTCCCTGTGTTCCCCCCCCAGAGCCTGCTGAACCGTCGCAAGCTCCTTAGGAAGTGCGTTGCCGTGGACTGCGGTGACGAGGCCGAGGATTTGCAGTCCAGTCTGTGAGTATCGGGGGAGTGTTGGATCCTCGGGATAAGCTGCTTCGTCTCCCGCTTCTGGATCGGGTATGAAATTTGGCCCTATCCGTTCTGCTTCGTTTGTGTTGACTGTCGCAGGTGTTACGTAACCGTTGTCGGCGAAGTGATAGAAGACTTCGGCGTTGACACTGTCGCGAGGATTGTCTTCGTCCATGGGCACGTCGACGGAGCAGTACGGGAGAGGTCCGGTTTCTTCCGATGCGTTGTCGACGTTCTGCTTCGTCCGCTGCTGAGGCGAAGGCTCGGTCACCACGAAAACCACCTGTGGGGTCCTGATTCTCGTGCAAGTTGGCGAGGTACGTTTGAAGGGTGAGTCGCTCGTAGAAGATCACATCACGTGCTGCTACTGTTTCCTTTGAGTGGACATCGAAAATTTTCCACGCGTTGTAATTTTTCTCGATGCCGAGGTGTAGTCCCCACTGTGCCCGTTGTGAAAATCTTCCCGCTTGTGCTTGTGGGGGTCGGTACTGCACCATGCATCCGAAAACTCGTAACATTCTTGTGCTGCCCTGCTTTCCTGTCCACAGCAGATGCGGTGATGTGTTGTTCGGGAGTGACGACGACGACAGCAAGTTGTGCAGCATGACAGCATGGTCCATTGCTGCAGGCCACTAGTGGTTGGGTAGCCGCATGCCACGTAGCAGTTTGCGCATGCTGTTCTGCAGAGTCCTGTTCATTCTTTCTGCAACACCTTGCTGCTGATGGGCGTAGGGAAGGGAGAGGAGTTGCTTGATTCCCCTTTCCGCCAGGTACTGCTTGAAGCGCTGAGAGGTGTATTCTCCTCCTCCGTCTGACTGGAAGCTTTTCAGCTGTGTTCCTGACTCCCTCTCTGCTACCGGTAGCCAAGCGGCGAACGCTGCGAGTGCCATGTCGCGGCTGGGTAGGTTTCGATGCCAGACGTATCGAGTGGCGGCGTCGATGAAGGTTATCGTGTAATTGTAGGTGACTTGTCCTGGTTCTCGATTGAAGAGGATGTCGCTGTATACTTTCTCGAGTGGTGCGTATGCAGGTGCGCTCGGGTTGTGGTGAGAAGAAAACGGTCGATGGGGTAAGTCGGCTTCGGGGCAGATGAGGCAAGTTCCTCGTGCCCGTTGAAGTTCTCTGCCGTCGGGTAGCAGTAGCGAATCTTTGTCGAGGACTCCTGCTCGTATTGTGTTATTTAATACTGTGTTGCTTGGATGTCCTGTGCGTGCGTGCCAGATGTCTTCAGGAGCGCGATGTCCGGGTGAGCGTTGATACGCGTCGGAGTTGGAGTATAAGCTGGCGACGACATTGGCGCTTCTGTGGACTTCTCGTTGAGTCGGGTTCAGTTGTTGTGCGGGTGTTGGTGGTGCTTCGTGGACGATGACTGGTGTCGTTGGTCCTGCTGCTGCCGATGATGTTTCTGCTGCTGTCGATGTTGTCTCTGCTGCTGCCGATGTTGTCTCTGCTGCTGCCGATGTTGTCTCTGCTGCTGTCGATGTTGTCTCTGCTACTGCCGTTTGTTGAATTGTTGCTAACGCTCGTGTTCGTTCTGCTTCAGGGATGGTGTGCGAGTACCAGAAACCTCCCGGGCTGAAGTCGGGATTGAGATCCGGGGGATGTGTCCAATCGGCGAATTTGACGATGGCGTCGCTATCTGCAGTGCCAAGGTCGGGGACGAAATCGAGGACGAAGACGTTGTTCTTCAAAACTGCTCTTCCGATGTAGAGGCCGCCCTTCCCGTGGTACAGTTTAAACTCCTGGGTGGTGCTTTCGGCTTCCAAGTGGATGCCTTTCGCCATCAGCTGGCTGACACTCAGTAAGTTATAACCGAGTCCTTCTGCGATGAGTACCTTTGACATGTGCAGTATGACGTTTGTCTCTATTGATTGAAGCTGAACTACTCCTTGTCGTCATGTGCGCAGGTTCTGGTTGTTGGCGACCGTGATGACTACTTCTCGCTGGAGTCGATGTTCGCGTTGAACGAAGTGTCCCGAGGAGCACATATGTTGTCCGCAGCAACTGTCCAAGAACCAGGTGTCTTGGCCGGACGGTTCACTTTGAGCGATGGCGGCGTACGCCGGATTCGGTTGGAGTGATTCGCGGCGAGGCGTCCTGTTGTCGAGCTCTTCTTCCGGTGAGTAGTGAGGTGGTTATTCGGTTGTGCACGAATCAGTTATCTTCACCATGCAATTGACAATGTTTCTTGCTCCTTGTGCAGATTGTTCTGTTGGAGTCGTTGAAGCTTGGATTGAGGTCGTCGGATTTGCTTGTGTTGAGGCAACTTGGGAGCTTGAAGGCCGGAGTTGTCGCTGTGGTGTTGTCTGACGAGACGGGCAGTGCGTGCGAGGGTGTCCCGAAGTCTTGCAGATGTGGCAAAACGGAGGTATCGTCTTCACTTGTTGCTGTTGTCGATTGTTGTTGTTGTTGTATTGTCGCTGAGTGTGAAACGCAAACTCCGGTGCTAATGTTTTCTTCTTGTGTCTTTCTTCTTGCAGGTCCATGTCCTGCTGCTCGGCATGAATTTCGGCGCAGAGTGCCGCTTCGGAAATCCTCCCGTGTGCTCGTAATATGGCGCGAGTGGAGCGCCAGTGGGGGCCGAGACCGCCGATGACCACCGTGATAAAGGCGTCTTCTGAAATCGACCCTCCGCATCGAAGAAGCTTGTCGCGCAGTTCGCGGCAGCGGCTGATATAAGCCATGCCTTTCTCGCCTGGTTTCATTTCAATTGTTGTCAACTGCGCCATTAACCTGCTTTGATTTACGCTGTCTGTTGCTTGATACAGGTTCTTCAGGTGGTTGTACACGAGCTCCGCAGAGTTGCCGTAGCCTCGGTAAGTCCTGATGTTCTGCTGCTGGGTCGGGGTGATGTTTCTTAACAGTATCGTGTACGCCATCATTGATTGATAGGTGTAGTGCTGCTTCTCATATTGTGTCCCGTTTGTTGGATATGGCAGGGACCCGTCGAAGAAGCCGAGAATCTGTGCTCCTTCCATCATCAGTTCGAACTCGAACGACCAGGTGAAGAAGTCTTTTCCGTCGAAGGGCTTTGTCGTTTGCAGCTTGAGAACATGCGCGAATTGCGATTGAACTTGTAATGCGTCCAATGCCCTTTCTTGTCCCGGTGCAGATTGCGGTTGCGGCATGAAGCTGACGGAGCCACGCTGGGGCTCGTACGGCACAAAGGTAGGCTGCGGTTGTTGTTGTTGAATTCCGCGTGCTTAGGATGAGCCGTCGAGACTCATAGGAGTTACGTTGTTGTTGTTGCTGTTGTTTGACTGCGCAGGTACTCCTTGCTGGTGCTGCTCGTAGAAGGACATGAAGGAGAAGAATTTCTCCATCATGCTTGGATCGAAGCCTGCGGGCGTTTCCGTAGACCCAGCTGCTGGTCTCGTGGTAGTCCCTTCTTCCGTCTGTAGACCAGAGACAGGAGGTGGAGTAGGGGTAGTGCCTGGAGAACCGTTGGAGGAGCTCCTCTCCTTCCTAGTAGACATGTCTTCCTTGTATTAAGTATTAAGAGAAAAAGTAACTTTGAACTCTATCTGCTCTCATACCATGTTGGGCTGAGATGCCGTAGGATCTTTGTAGAGTTAAAGTCTGAGTAGGATTGTAATAGCGGAAGCGTTTGAATGAAAAGTCCTTGAACCACCTTGCACTAGTATGTGAGGGCAAAGTAAGTTGATTAAAACAAGCAAATACAAGGCTTTATATAAGAGTACAAGGAATACGAATAGATATAATTAAACTGTTTTGCTGTTGCGATTCGATACAGTGCGACTCGGGCAACTGCTCAATGTCGAGTCAGTTGTGTGTCCTTGTTGTCGCGCTGTATTTGTCAAGTCAAAGGTCGCTGACTTTTGACCTTCGCGTAACCTCCAGGCGGTTACCCTAACCTCCGAGGGTTGACTCGCGATGCTTCGATTTGGACTGCTTCGCTTGTGTCCTGAGTTTCGACACGACAGAGGCGCTTTAAGACTTATTGTTCCCAACACACATGTGCCATAAATCCAGATTTTGCTCCTGGAACAGGAGGTCTGCTGACAATATTATTTCCATTCACTATAGAACCTTGACATTTCAAATCAGCAATTCCCAGGATAAAAATAGCACCTAGCAGAAAACTAGAGCTCCAATTGGAGCATGGAAGATCCTTTCTCTATACTGGAATAGGACAAATGTAAGTGTGCTGCATCCTAGGGCTTGTCAGTAAAACATTGGGGATGTGGTGGAGAGCTGTTGGTGTTTCAATGATGACTTGGCAGCCACATCTGCACCAAGCACCTGGGGAGAAGGAACACAGAACCAGGGAACAGAAAATGCTTAGATGAGCCTCAGGTCGCAAAGCAAGCACAGGCAAAAGGCAAACGACCCCTAGGGACAGAGACAACGAGGGGCTAGCAGGGGATGGCAATGGAAAGACCACTCACTCTGTACTTCGATGCTGTTTCCGTTCCCTTGATCAGATACCTTCCACTGCCATGCCCACTGTCCCCCCACTCATTTCCACCCAGCACATAACCCTTCTCCCCTCCTCCCCCTACCCCCATCATCCCCACCCCAAGCACCTCCGCTCCCCCATCCCTCCCTGAAAAGCTACTAGCACAGTCCGAGAAACTGCCGCTGCTGCTCAGCCCTTCGTGTGTGCCGTCCCCATCCCCATCCCCATCCGCATCCCCATCGCCCCACTCTTCACTCTCACTAAACCCTGCTACTTCTGTCGTCGCATCAGTAACACTCCACATCTCCGTTCCCTCGGTAATCGCATCTGCATCCTCGCGATCCAGACCGTCCATCGACCCTCCTCCACCGATCGCCCCTCCTCGCTCTCCCATCCGCCTCCCCCTCCCCGCTCTCCGGCTGCCTCTCCTCTGCCCACCCTCGCTCCGACACCTCTCCTTTTCCTCGTTATTATCCCGCCCGTTATAGTCACTATCTCCTTCAGGCTCGTCGCTGCACTGGCTTGAGCCGATAATATCGCCCCAGACGCTCAACCCACCGTCCACACAGGCAACCAGGGAGAGCAGCGAGTCGGAATGGTGGAGAGCTGAAGCCGCAGAGGGCGGGTGCGAGTACGTTGAGAGCAGCAACGCGTGGATGTTGCTCATCGGATGCACATTATTCATGGAGCCATTGTTGTTCGTGCAACTCCTGCTGCTGTTGCTGTTGATGTTGCTGCTGCTTGTTCCTAGGGCGTGTTTCACAGGCAAGGTTCGATCAGGCGACGCAACCCCTGCTAGTGCCTGATCCACCACTGACAGAGCCGCACACACCTCCTCTGCCACCTCCACCACCACTTGCTCCCCCCACTCCCCCCCCTCCCCTCCCTCCCCACACCCCTCCCTCTCCACCGCTCCAAACGCCTCTCGCCCTCCCACTTGCCCTCCTCCCGCTCCCGCGTTGCCCCAGCAGCCGCGCTGCTTCCTCCCGCTGTTGCCAGCACTGGAAGGGGAGGCACCACTGGGAGAGGAGCCTCGAGGGGGGGTGGAGGGGCGGCGCGGGCTGCGTGGCACATCACTCAACCTCCCCCGGCCGTTAGAACCGCTACCAGTCCCGCCCGACTGGCCCCTCCCATGCGCCCCTTCCAATCCGCCCAATCCAACCCCTCCGAACCCATCTGCGCCTGCCCCAACGTCCCCAGCACAGCTCCCAACACCGCCAGCACCAGGACCGGCGTTGTTGGGTTGGGAGCGGCGGCGGGAGGAGGGTTTGCGAGTGGAGCATTCGCCGCAGGTGGCGCAGAGGAGCTGGTCTGGGAAGAGAGGCGGGAAGCCGCAGGCAGAGCAGGCGTTGGGCTGCCAGCGCTGCACCCCCGGGAGCACAGGCCCGCCAAACACCTGCAATACAGGGGCAGCATCGGAGGTGGGAGACACATAGGCGGGCAATGAAGGCAGGCAATGAACTTCTCGAAACGACCTTGAATTGCAATCCTTCAGAGAGGAATTAATAACCTTGCACAGAGCTTAACCATGCACAGACGCACTGCACATGCCATACCTGCATGTAGGTTCGGTACAGCGCTGCAACCGCACCTGTTTGCAGGCTCGGGAGCAAATCTGGCACTATACCAGCATGCAGGTTCGGGAGAAGCGCCGTACCTGGCGGAAGGCTTGGTAGTAGTGCAGATGCTCGGGGTCCCGTATCCGAACCTGGTCCTCCCTCTTCACCCTCTGCCTTTCTGCCTGAAACTCCTCCCGTGCCATCCTCCTGGCAAAATGGCGTGTTAGTGCCACTGTGCCGGCTCCCACCTGTAGTGGAGGAGAGAGGTCAGAAAGGGAAGCAGAGAAGAAGGTTGCAAGGAGCACTAAGGTAAAACACTGAGTTGACTCGGCTCACTCTCCTCACTAAAACAGTCTCCCACCCAGACGGGGGATTTGTTGGTTCGCACTCATAAACGACTCATAAAAAGGCCAGGAGCAGCAGTAGGGTACGTGCTTGTAACGCCATTTAACCACAGCAACCCAACCTAAACTCATTCCACCACTTTGCACACCTCAATGGGGTCCTTGGGCCGGCGGGCGGACACCACTTCAGGGAAGGCCATGCGCAGCAGCAGGTTGCCCTCGTTATAGTCACACCACTCCTTGCTGCGCCCCTCCCCCAGCAGCTCGTCCTTGGTCAGCCCCAAGGCGAACTCCTGCAGGGCCGGGTGCAGGAACGGCTGCCGAACCTGCAGGCTCGGACACAAGGGGTAAAGGGTGAGGCAGGAGGGGAAGGAAATGGTGAAGAGCAGGGAAAAGTTGAGGAAAGAGTAGGGAAGGGAGTCAAGCCACCACGGAGTATTCAAAGGGGTCACCTCGAAGACAATATACCACCTTAATGTAACAGGATGAATGTCTGTACTGAGCACTGTGACGTCACCAAGCAGAAAGAGGTAAGGAGCTCACCTCGAGACCGAGAGCGTGGGCGAGGTGGCGGCAGGGGAAGCGCAGCACATCCACCATGTGGTGCCGAGCCGACACTCGTGGGTGGCTTGTGATCCCCCCAGTACCGCGTGAATAAGCGAGATAACACAGGGCTCACCTCCAGACCCAGTGCCTGGGCGAGGTGGCGGCAGGGGAAGCGCAGCACATCCACCATGTGGTGCCTCTAAAGCAGAGGGTGACACCTTAAGATGCCGCACAACCAGAGCAGCATGAGGGCTCACCTCGAGGCCGAGTGCCTGCGCGAGGTCTCTGCAGGGGAAGCGCAGAACATCCACCATGTGGTGCCGACACTCCTGTAGCTTGGCATCGCTCATTCGCACCATGAAGTCAAACCTGCCAAGCAACGACAGGCGAGAGCCACAGACAGGGACATGTGCGGACGGGGAGAGGTGTAAGCGGGAACGAGGGGGCACAAACGGACAACATGAGTTGAGGCGCCCGAAGCGAACGATGAGTTGCCAGCTCATCGTGGAATAAGCGGGGACAAGAGGCATCCCTGGTCTCTTGCCAGCTCTGACTTGAGAACGATGGACAGCTTTTGGACACAAACTGCTGCGAATCCCATGTCTAACCCTTTCCCATCCTTCCTAAACCCTCTGGTCTGGATTCCATACTAAATCCTACCCCCCCCCAACACCTCTGTCCCCCCAAGGCACTCACGCAGTGAAGAGCTCGTCCGCGCCATCGCCCACCATCACCGAGCAGAACCCCTGCCGCTTGGCCTCCCTCAATCCCGCCGCCAGCACCACGCCCATGCGGATCTGCACTAGGGCGGGATGGGGAAGACAAGGGAAAGGGGGGGAGGGGTAAAGAGGAAGCGATTAAACATAACGGCATGTGGACTCCCTCGATCGCAGGGAGCATTTCAACACCAGCAGCAGCATTCTCAGCATGCACACTACAGCTCCATCTCCAGCCGGTGCTGAGGCTGAGCCTGGTCAGCCTGGGTCAGCCTGGTCAGCCTGGTCAGCCTGGTCAGCCTGGGTCAGCCTGGTCAGCCTGGGTCAGCCTGGGTCACACAGCAGGTTCCAGGCTGCAGGTTGTGCGAGACACCTGAGCCACCCGAGCCACCCAAGCCGGAGCCACTGGCTCACCTCAGCAGGGTCGAAGCTCTTGAGCAACACAAACCATAACTCCGTCTCCAACAGATGCTGTCGAACGCAGACAGGTGGGCTGCGGAGGCCTTACGTCCATCAACTTGTATGGTTATTTAAAACGACGTACAAGTTGATGGACGTAAGGCCTCCGCAAACCGTAACTCCGTCTCCAACAGATGCTCCGCTGGAACCCACACTTCAGTCAACATAGTCCAACCCGGCCGTTACCCTCACCCTGACTCTGCGGTGGGCTTCTGCAGCAACTCCTAAAGGGGCACAAACTCACCTCAGCGGGGTCGAAGCTCTTCAACACGCGCACCACAAACCGTAACTCCGTCTCCAGCAGGTGCTCCGGCTGAAACCCCGGCCCGCCCCCCACAAACACATGCCCCCCGCTCCCCCCCGCGCCCATCCCCGCGCCCAGCTGGCACCCGCGCGCGGCAGCCGCCGCGGGGAGCCTGTCCGCGGCCTTGGGGCTCGCAAGGACGGTGATAGCGGCGGCTATGCTGCCCGGCCAGATGAGGGACGTGGCGGCGTGCGCAATGATGGTGGACGCGAGCCCGCCCGAGAGGAGCAGGCAGTCCGCGGGGAGCGAGTCCTCTATGGTCGCCAGGAAGAGCGCGCGCAGCTGCGCCGCCTTGAGCGCCGCGCCTGTGAGGGAGATGGCGGGTGGAGGGGGGGACGCGGGGGAAGCGTCCTCCTCCTGCTGCGGCTCCTGCTGCTGCTGCTCCTGCTGCTGTTCCTGGTAAAGCTCTGGCGTTGCGTCTGGTTGCGTCTGTTGCTGTGACTCCTCCTCTAGCCTCAACTGCGTCAAAAAGAGCTGCTGTATCCGCTCCTGCTCCTGCTCCTCCTGAGCCAATTTCTGCGTCTGCTCCTGCGCTTGCGCTTGCGTTTGCGCCTGCATTTGCGCTTCCTCTGTCCTCACTTCCTCTTCCTTCCTCTCCGCCTCAATCCCCCCTTCCTCCGCGTCCTTCCCCCCTTTCCCCCGCTTCAACCCCCACAGCGACCGCCTGGAGCTGCGCCCGGGGGGAGAGGGGAGGGGCGCCAAGGGCTCGGGAGCCGGTGCAGAGGGCGCAGCACTTACGGCAGCAGCAGCAGCACCGACTGGAGCAGCGGCGGCGGCAGTGGCGTTGCTGCTGGCTGTTGTAACACTTCCCGTGTAACCAGGAGGCGGGCGAAGAGGAACAATAAACGCATCGTTGTTTGCCACCTTCGCCAACTCTCCCTTGCTGCTCCCCTGCCCTTGCGTTCCCTGCAGTTTCCCCCCCGCTTTCGCCACCAAAGCCGCCTCCCGCGCCGCTTCCTTCGCCCCCTTAGCCGCTGCTTCCGACGCCAATTGCGCAAACCACCCCTCCCCCTCCCCTACGCTCCCGCTCCCCTTTTCCCCCGCAGTACCGCTCCCCACATTCCCCCCCTTCCCCACATCCAGTTTTCCCCAGCTTTCTCCCCCCTGGTCGACCCCTCCGCCATCCCCCAGCAGCGCGCGCCACGCGCCCACGCACCCCCCCGTCAACTGTGCGTATGCCCTCCCCTCGTACTTAATCTCGATCTCCGGGGAATCCGGACCTGCTGCCACGTGTCCTGCGCCCAATCCGCGGTTGTTGCGGAAAGAGGAAAGCGGGGCGTCATTATCACCGCCAGCAGACGCGCCAGAGCGGTTCACTGCGGTTCTGTGGTTTGGGAACCGGCGCGCATGGAGAATTTCCACCATGATCTCCGCCGACTCGACTATAGTCGGCCCGGAGTTGTTAAAGTAACGGTCGCCGTCAGCCACGAAGACGGAATCCGTCTGAACCGCTCTCAACCGGTTCCACTGGGGTAAATCGTCCAAGTTAAGAAACTCTCTTAAAACTGCTTCCATGGACAATCCGCAGCACATGGCGATGATGACGTCAGGGTCCAAAGATAGAAGGGTTTCCAAAGTTAGCATGGCCGTGCGCTCTCCCGGCTGTGGGCGGAAGAAGGGGAAAAAGGGGACAATGGGGAAAAGGTTGTGGTGGGAAGCATTGAGAGGACAAGAGGGGGAAACGGAAAGGCGAACAGCGCCAGAAGTTAAGCGTCTACCTGCATTTCCCCGCCACCCTCCCTTCACTCATTCTCCCTCCATCACGTCACGTCCTCCAATCCCACCTCCCGCACATCTCACCTCCCCCATGTCTCACCTTCCCCGACAGGCTCTTGCCTCCCGCGCAAGCGACGATCTCCGGAACCCAGAACCCCGCCCCCATGAGCGGGCGCAGCCACTGCAGGCACACCACGCGCACGCGCGGGGACGATCCGCGGAGCGGAACCTGCCTGCGCACGAGCGACCAGCGCGCTTTAAGAGTCTGCACGAGCACGCAACCTTTCTCCCTGTGCCCGACCGCCGCTGCGACCTGAACCATGTTGTCCCACACGTCCGAGATCGTGATTGGCTTGAGCGATACCACGTGGCACACGTGTCCCGAGTCTTCGCGCTGCTTGAAGTACTCCGCGCACGCCGCCTCGAGGTCCGCTACAGTCACGAGGCACACGTCGCAAGCGTCCTGCGTTATAATCACATCTGGCTGCAGCCGTTTTATCGCTTCCACGTCCACGTGGTATCGGGAGAGGCTCTTCCGCACCCGCTGCGACAGCTGCGGTTGGGAAAAAAAGAGGAGGGGGAAGGGGGAAGCGGGAAAGGGAAGCCAGAATGGCGGAGGGGGAAGAGGGTGGGGGGAAGGCACGAGAGCAGTGATTAAACGATTGGCAGGACACGAATGTGAACGCTCCTGAACAGAACATAAGAAATCGCCACATCGCACCCAGATTGTCCGCGAGAAGCACAGCGCACGCGAGCGCAGATTCTAGACTTCTTTAAATTTCTCGCAGGGAGTCCCTTGGGCGCGTGCTGCGACAGCTGCGGTTAGGCAAGGGGAAGGGAGGGCACGGGAATGAGAGAATGGCGGTGAGTTGGAGAGGGGAGAGAGAAGGGAGCGGGGCGAGGGACAGTTGGGGAGGGAAAGAGCGTAAGGAAGGGGGGTGGGGGGTGGGTTGGGGAGGGATGCATCGTCTACGGCCCAACATGACAGCGGTTCGCCGCGCACTCACCGTGTCGTGCGCGGAGCCGCAGCTTGGCCCCTCCACGCCCGATCCCGACGCGGGCGCCGTAACGCACGGCAGCGCGAGCACGGACGGCGGGAACTTGCATTCGTGCGACCGCCCCACCAGCAGATGCTGCAACCCTAGCGTCGCCACCACCTCCGTCGCCGCCCCTAGGAGCGATACAACCCTAAGCGACCCGTCCCTACCCCTGCTCCGGTCCCGGTCTCTGTTCGGGCCGCCGACGCTACCCCTGCTGCTGCTCAATACGCTCGCGCTGGTTGCGCCGTTCGTCCCGTCGTGCCGGCCGCTGCTGGCGGTCGCGCTTCCGCTCTCGCTCCCGCTGCTGCTGGCTCGGCTGCTCGCGCCCGAGGTTCGGTCTGACCCTTCGAGGCTCGCCACTGGCGGTTCTATCCGAAGCTTCAGCTGCGGGACTGGCGAGGTGCCGTCGTGCTGCTTCGACGAAGCTTCCTTGGCCTTTCTGTGGATGCGCAGGGAGTCAGCCGTTTGCAGAGCCATAGGCGACTCATCGTCTCTACTGGAACGGTCTATAGCGGGGCTGCCGTTAACGGGACGGTCCAGTGAGGAGCGTGCTGAGGTGGAACGAGAGGAGGTGGACGAGAGGGAGGAGCCTGAAGGAACGGAGGAGACAACGGTGGAGGAAAGAGACGAAAGAGGGCAATCGTCGTCAACAAAGGCCCTTGTAACCTCGATAGTTACGGCAGGCGCGCCCGGTTCGCTCTTCCCCAATGCATAGCTCCTAGGCTTATCCTTCTTGCCCTTCCCTTTCCAGTCCAATAACGAGCCTCCGCTGGAGGTTCGGCTAGGCTTGACCCGAGCCTCCTCCGGAATCTCCTCGCCTGGCGGGGCATGATGCGCTTCGGTTTCTGCTGACGTAGGTTCCGCTGTAGCTGCTGCTGACGTGGACTTGGAACTGCCTCCCTTTCGACCATCTTTAAGAAGCGACAGCCAGCTGCTGCTTTTCTTGCGTGATAGTGCCTGCTCGATATGATGCATGGCTAAATGTTACGTTAGACGGTCAAAATCAATCAAGGTAGTTAATCAACTAACAGTGCGATGTGTGGCGCCAGTGATTGATGTGGGAAATTAGCGAACCTACGCTCATCTAAACGCATCGTAACCTTCGAAAGCAACCTAGAATCTCTAAACACGTATTGCTGCTGACTGTTCCTAAGCTTCTGTCAACACGAAAGATTCAATGCCGTTTCTTTCTTAGAGCTCAGTGACGACCAACCTCCTAGAGGTGCATAGCTCGTCTAAAACCGTTTAGATAGCCTGTGACAGGACCATAAACAAAACCAGACTCTCTTTTCTGAGAACGACATTTTCCACCACAATCAAGCTAAGACAGGGCAGGAAACTGTAGCTCCGCAGAGCAAACAGGTTAGGGTAGTAGGTTCCTCTCAGTGAGGAGAGCTTGAGCGTGAGATCAGGGAGTGAGCTTGTTGTTTTGGTTTGGCTTGGCCACCGCAGGGAAGAGGGGAGGGGAGGCCCGGTGAGTGAAAGAGGTTGGAGTAGGCTGGCTCGGTAGTGTGCCGAGCTGCGCAAAGCGTGGCTGCGTTGCCTTCGTGGTCCGACGCACCTTCACCCTTCACTCCGAATTTGTCGAGGCTCGGTACCTAGCGCATTTACCGCGGCTGAGCGCCGGGCTTGGTGAATTTGCAAACAGGTATGTGAGAGCCTTCAATGCCGGAGCATAACTTTTTCATCCGAGCCAAGCAGATGCATGCAAGCACCATCAAAGCACGTGTGGATAACGGAGAAGGGGCTGTGCCTTTTTGCTGAGGCAGGCTGGCCTGGAGTCCCGAAGCAAAAAAAAACTACGAGCCAATCAGCGAAAGTCTTGCCTGGGATCTCTCGAAACAGCACAGCTGTGCGCTCGTTCCGAGCCGATCGGCCCAGTCAAGAATCTGCTGCTTTGTGGCATTTTCAGAGCAGGCTACGACCTCGGCTTTGCCGAGCGTGAAGTGTCATGCGAGGTTTGGGACCCAACCAGAGTGACGGCATCCACTCACAGCCAAACAGCTAAAACCGACGTTCTGCCTCGGCTGGGGCTTTCACTCCGAAACCACCGTCGACGACACTGATTGGCTATAGAGCCGAGCGCCTCGAGCTGTTCCGAAAGCGCGGGGCCGTCGTCATCCTTGAACCACTCGCGCCGCTTGAAGCTGGGCGGTGACACCAGCGAATAGTGATAAAAGGGAATGGCCAAAATACAATACAGTACTCCTGATCAACAGCAGCTCAAAGCCAAGGATTACAACTTCAGCATTTTATCAGGCTACACAGCCTTGCCCAGATCAACCAATTCCGCCCTCACATCCCTTAGCTAAATACCACAAGCTGTCATCAATTCCTGTCGCCTAACATGGTTTCAATCTCTTTCATCTTTCCTTTCCGACACCACCCACCTAAGGTCCATCTCCGGCATTTTCAGCTTCTCTCTGGCATCTTCATGCCACCACCCCTCTTCCTGCTCTCCAGCCTGGAACAAACCCATGGGAAGGATACAGTAATGGAGGAAGGTGTGAATCCAATGAGACAGAAAGGTTGAAACCATGCGGATCACACGCAAGCAAGCAAAATAGGGAGGAAGAAGAAAAAGCAGCTCACGAGGGGCCGAGCAGGTACCCCTCCCCTCCCCACCCACCCCCACCCTACTGGGGGAATGCGAGCTTCCCCAGGCAGAGCGGGAGGGAGCAAGCAAGCAAAAGAAGTGCCAGCAGTGCTGGCAAGGCAACTCACGAGGGGGCGAGCTTCCCCAGGCAGAGCAGGTACTCCCCGGTCTCCTCATCAAACACGTTGCCTGTGATCTCAATGCGGTAACCGCAGTCAGGCGTGCCCGGTAACCCTCTCTTCATCAGCCGCTCCAGATCCCTGTGGTGCAGCTCCCTGCCGTTCACATACACGCGGGTTGCGCCCCCTGCGCAGGACTGGGGAATCGGCACGCCAAAGTCAATGCCAGGCTGGCAGGTGGAAGGGGGGGTGGGGGTTGGGGGGTGGGAGGAGCAGCCTTGAGGTCCCTGTGGTGCAGCTCCCTGCCGTTCACATACACTCGGGTTGAGCTGCCGGCACAGGATTGTGGCATCACTACCCCGAAGTCAATGCCAGGCTGGCACGGGAAAGGTGTGGGGGAAGTCAATGCCAGGCTGGCACGGGAAAGGTGTGGGGGAAGCCAATGCCAGGCTGGCACGGGAAAGGTGTGGGGGAAGTCAATGCCAGGTTGGCACGGGAAAGGTGTGGGGGGGAGGGGAAAGTACAGGGAGGGAGGCTCCAGACTCGAGGTCCCTGTGGTGCAGCTCCCTGCCGTTCATACACGCAGGTTGAGCACCCCATACTTAAGTGATGCATTGGTATGCCACAGTCGATGCCCCGCTGGCAGGGGGAGGGAGGGGAGAAAAGGGAGACACAGGAAGGGAAAAGATGGGAGAGGGGAAGGAGAGTAGGCTAACATGGGGCAGAAAGAGAGTGTGAGAACGGGGAAGGTGTAAAAAGGGTGAAGGCAACAGCAGGTGTGATAGTTGTGAGGAGAGAAGGAAAGGGGAATGTTGAAAACAAATGGAGGAACTTGCAATGTGTAACACAGAAGGGTGTGAGCCAACATGCTGCATGCCAGTTCAGCACTTACCGGAATGATGCCGAGGCATGGCCCACCCATCTCACCCCAGAAGCCTGCCACGTCATCATACCTGCCACAAAACAGGGGACAGAGTACTGCCACGTGGTTACTACCTAAACCACCAGGGTATAGTGCAGCAGGCAATCATCTCCACTCAGATCATGCTGTCTGCTGTGACATGCCCCATGTGCCATGCCCCATATTGCATGCCTCATAAGTCATGATGCTACGCATGCACCACCGACCATTCACCATGCACCACACACCACCCACCACATACACATCCCTTCTCTCACCAGTAGTTGCCAGGGTGAATGGGGCCCGCCCGCTGCTCTGCCACAGCCACATACTCATCCGGCAGTGCCTGCCCATTCACCATCACCTGCCGGCTATACATCATCCCATCCTCCTCCCCCATTCCTCCCCCCATGCCTCCCCCCATGTTTCCCCCCATGCCTCCGCCCATGTGTCCGCCCATGTTTCCGCCCATGCTTCCACCCATGCTTCCGCCCATGCTCCCCACCGGCCCCCCGCCCATCCCCTGCTGCTGCTGGTTGTGCCCATAGGACGGCGCAGCCATCTCCCCCCCTTCTACTCCCCCCTGCCTGCCCATCCCCCCCGGCCCCCTCCTGCCCATAACCCCCCCGCCTCTCCCCGCCCCCATCCTCCCCCCGCCTCTCCCCCTTCCCCCGGGCCCTCTCCCCCCGACTGCTCCTCCCCCTTGCCCGCCCATTCCGCCCCCCATCCCCCCGCCCCCGCCCCCGGCCCCTTCCGCCATATAATCATCAGACTCCCTAGAAACCGAGCGCATGTGGTGGGGGGCGGGGGGGCCTCCCCCTCCGCCTGGCCCCATGCCTGGGCGGAACCCTCCCCCTCCCCCTGCGCCCCCCCCTCCGCTCATGCTCGCGTTACCATCACTGTCATATCCAGTCCCACTCCCCCCCCTCTGCTGCTGCTGAAGCGGGGAGGGGGAGGGAAAGCGCCCGCTCCCCCCGGCGCCCTGCAGCTGCTGATTGGGATGCTGCTGAGCTGGCGGCTGTGGCGGCGGCGGTTGCTGACTTGGCGGCAGTTGGTTGGCGAAACGCGGGTCAGCAGGGTTGACCTGGAAGCGAGAGACTCGCAGGCACTTGCCGCAGCGTAGCTTCTGCACGCCCTTCTTAGCCGGAGGAAGCTGCAGAGGCACTTCCAGTAGCTGGGAGCAGCGCTGGCACTGAAAATACACAGGGGGGAGGGAAGGGCAGAGAGAGGGAGACGGTACGTGGGGAGGAGCGGGAGGGGGGAAACGAATAGAGGAAAAAGAGGGGGAGGGGAATCGGGAGGAGCGGATGGAGGGAGGGGAGCAAGCGAGGCAAAGAGGATTGCAATGGCGGCACCCCTCGCCATGATGAGTCGGTTTTTTAGTCGCCTTCTCTCCTCGTGTGATGAGTCGACTCAAAAGCCGACTCATCACACGAGGAGAGAAGGCGAGGCGAAGAGGAAGGCAAAGGCGGAACCCCTCGCCATGACTGCACTACTCGCCACATTGAAAGGCCAGGGAGCGAGGGAGGGGGCGGGAGGGGGGAGGGAAAGGGAGAAGGTGAAGGAGCGGTTTGGGAGGGAGCAGCATACCTGCACTACTTTTGAGACGCGCTGGGCGGGGGCAGCATGGGCAGCATACCTGCACTACTTGCGGCGCGCTGGGCGGGGGCAGCATGGGCAGCATACCTGCACTACTTGCGGCGCGCTGGGCGGGGGCAGCATGGGCAGCATACCTGCACTACTTGCGGCGCGCTGGGCGGGGGCAGCATGGGCAGCATACCTGCACGACTTGCGGCGCGCTGGGCGGGGGCAGCATGGGCAGCGAGGCCGCCTCGTCCTGTTGCTGCTGCGCCTGCATGTGCTGCAGCCGCCGCGTGAAATTCGTATCCGACGCATCAGACATGTTCCCCGCGCCCGCCCCGTAATACTCGTCTTCCACCCCTTGCTGCCCCTGTGCCTGCCCCTGCCCCTGCTGCTGCTGCATCATCTGCTGCTGTCCCCCTCCCCCCATCTTCCGCCCAGGCCCCATGCCCGACCCACTTCCGCCTCCCCCCATCATCCGCCCGGAATTAGCGCCCCCCTGCGCGCCCGCCCACTGCTGTTGCTGACGTGGCGTCTGCTGAAACTGCTGATCTTGCCCGTAATGCTGCTGCGGATCCTGACCGTACATCCCGTCTTGATACCCATCCGCCTCCCCCCCGCCGTACCCCATTCCGCTTTGTGGGGAGTAAACGTTACCATCCCCGCCCGGATACTGCCCCCCGCCTGCGCGGAACGGGCTCCCGGACCGATCGTACCCCCCTTGCGGGTTTGGCGCAACGCCCCCCCCCCCTGCTTCCCCTTCCCCCTCCCCCTCCCCCCATCATCTGACCGCCGCCGTACGCGCCGCCATCGTCCCCGCCGAACCCGCCGCCGCCGTAGCCTGTGGGTGTTTGCGCCGCGCTGCTGCGCTTGAGCGCGGACTTGAGCAGCGGCTGTTGCGGCAGCGCCTGCTGCATTCCCTGCATGTTCATCGAATCCTCCCCGCCCGCGCCCGCACCCATGGGGGACCGCGACCGGCTTGCGCCGCTTGCGGACTTGCGTATCCCGCTTTGCGCGGGGCTTCCGCTTCTGCCCGCTGCACCTGCCCCGCGTCCCCCGCCCGCCCGTCTGCGCGCATCGACTTGCGTCAGCGATCGTCCCAGCTGCTCCTCCCCGCTTCCATCTCCCCCCCCTCCACCTCCCCCTCCCCCTCCCATCCCCCCCCCTTGCTGCGGAAAACCCGCCGCGGGTCTCCCCCGCGGCTTGCTCCCCATCGTCATCGACCGTCCGAGATCCGATTCCGTCGGATCCTCGTCATCGTCCGGATGCGCCTGTTGCGGCGGCGCTCTCTGCTGACGTGGCTGCGCGGCGCGGACATTTTGCTGCTTCCCCGGGGCCTTACCGACCATGGAGAGCGTTCGGTTGAATCGCGGCGCGGCGGCGGGCTCCATGTCATCGTCGTCGTTCATCTTGGATTGCGATGGACGGTGGATCATGGAGTTGATCCGACTGAATTGCTTCTCTTGGCCGCCCTTGCTAGGCCCATCGCCGCGAAGTTTGGTAACCGTTGTCCGTTCGCCGGGTGCTTTTTTGCGAACGACGGGTCGATCCTCGGATGTGTCTTTTAGCGGGACGGTTCGCGTCGAGCCTTCGCGCGCCCGACGCTGCGGGGCGGGGCCCCGCTCCATCTCCACCAGCTCTTAGTTAAAAGCAACGACTTCGTCAGTAAGTTCAGCCATGAAAACCCTAATCGATCACCTAAGGTGTCATCCAGTCGCGAACAACGCGCAATGTGACCAAGATCTTGAGGAAATTTAAAGAGTTCAACAAGTAAGGCTGTCACAGGAAACCCTAGGAAGGAATATAGGCAATGAGGTAGGACACGAACTCCACCTGAACAGAAAGTGCAACTGACGACGAGTCTCGCAAACAAGCTTCGTGAGTTGTGAGCAGTGGGTAGAGATGGAGATGGAGAGGCAGAGGAGGTGGTGGATGGCTGGTGTGGGACGGACGGATGAGCAGAGGCCTGAAGCCAGGGTCCTCGAGGTGCACGCTTTTGGCGGCAAGCAAGAGGGTCGCTGATTTGAAGAGACGAGGCAAGCAAGAGGAGATATCAAGGGAGGATTGATTGGGCGGTGAACAATATCAAAGCTGCTTTGGTAAGTGCGGTGGGGGAAGTCTTGTTTCTTAGTCAGAGTGGCGACCAGACAGCTGAGTGCCTGTAAGGAATTTTCTCGGCATTCCTTACGGAGCCGACTACATCGCGTACAGCAACAGCCGATTGTTCGCCCGTTACTGCTAACGGAAGTTCGCCGACTTCGCGCGCACTGTTTTACCAAACCTCGCACTGCTGGCATGGCCCTATCGGCCTACGCTTCGGGACTAGCCCGAGCCTCGCTCCAGCGTAGCACTAGCAAGCTCGCACGCACCGCGTTACCGTTTTGCATGTTTCGCGTATAAATGTTCGCTCATGCCTTCGCTCACATTTTGTACTCGTTTGACACCTTAGTGCAATTCTCGCTACCTCGATTCATTGCACCCGTAACACTTGGTTATCAGAGCCCCTTTCTTTCGGACCGCGCATCTCCGCACACCAGGAAATCAACTTTTGATTTTTCACTCGAAGGGACTCACGCACCTTAGCCCCTAGGAGCCGCTGTCCTCGCGTTCTCTCGTAAACGCGTGCAGCCACGACTGCGCCTAGACTAAGACGAGCCGACGCCCTTCGTCATGGCCGAAAACATCGACGTCACCACTCTCACGCAGGAGCGTTTGAACGATCTGCTGCGACAACTGCACGAAAGCTCCGAGGAAATCGCGGCATTGACGGCAGAACGCTCATCACTGCAAAATGACCTCCTGAGAGCACAATCCCAAGCACCTGGCACTCCGATTCAACCCGCACCCTCAACATCACAACACGGGAGTGTGGGGCAACTCGCGAGCGCGGCCAGTGATGGCGTCGTCCGCCCCGACGGAGACGACGACCACGGCACGACACACCCCAGAGCGACGCCTGCGGCCCCAAGTCAGCCTCGCGTCACGATTTCGGCACCAACCCACGATTCGGGACTGCCGTCACCGATGCCGCTGAAGCCGCAGCGTCCGCCACGCTTTGACCCGAGTCAACGGGGTGGTCCTACCGTTCAGGCGTGGTTGTTCACAATGAACGTCTTCTTCGACGCCAACTACGTCTCGGAGGACTCGGCGAAGATTCGATACGCCGTGTCGTTGCTGCGAGGACCCGCCATGGACTGGTGGCGCGTCATCGTCACGAAGCCGACTGACTACGCGACACTACCGACACGGGAAGGACAAACCGGACCCTGGGCGCCGTCGTATTTCGTGGAGGTGCCCCAGTATCGCACGTGGGACGCGTGGTGCGCAGGTCTGCGCGCTCGATTCGAGCCAATCGCGGCCTCGATCTCGGCGCGACAGAAGCTCCGCACTTGGCGCCAACTCGGTTCCGTCCAGGATTACACGAGCGGATTTCTGGCGCTATGCGAGCAGGTGGGCTACATGCATGAGAGCGAACGCATCGACCGCTACATCGGCGGCCTGAAGCAGGACATCGCTCAGGAAATCCAGCTTCGCGGCGTCACTGAGTTTCAGGAAATTCTCGCTATGGCGGAGAAGCTCGACTTCTTTCGCCGACCGAGACCGGGGTCCTACGGAAACAACACCTGGGGACATCGGCCTCGTGGGACGAACGAGAGCGCCACGATACGCGCCGTCGCCGCAAATGCCGCTGCCGCACCGTTCAAAGGGCGCTGCTTTGCGTGCAATCGGCCGGGACATCGCAAGAGCGAATGCCCGGAAAACGCTAAGGGAAAGGGGGAAGCTGAGCAGCAGACACAGACCAAGCAGCAGGGAAACGCTGGAAGTCAGTAGCAGACGGGCCCTCTACTGACAGGTCACGCCGCTCGCCCGACCCAACCGACCCTCACCGAGTGATTGTGCCGGTTCACGCAATCGACCACACCCGGCCGAATAAGGAGGGTACCACGGTAGATAGCCCTATACTGCTCAGTGGGAAAATTGGGACGGACTTAGTTAAAATCTTCGTAGATGGGGGAGCCAGCCACAGCCTCATTAACACTGCTACAGCACGAAAATTGCGACTGCCACTGGACCGATGCTTACCTGAGATCGACGCACGACTGGTAGACGGCACGCCGCTGGCAATACGGGAACGCGTAGACCGAGTTCGGATTCGATGCGGGGGTAACTTCACGTTTAGTCAGGAAATGCTCGCAACGACCCTCGACGGAACCGACATTTTACTCGGGCGTGATTGGCTGCGACGACACAACCCGCGAATTGACTGGACGACGGGTGACTGCACCGTGCGAGTGAACGGTAACAGCATCGCCTTACCTCGCTGGGGCTCGCCTGAGTCTTCGTCGGTGCGTGTCAACGCGATCACGATGAAACGCGCTGTTGCGGCCGGAGCCGACGTGTACGCGGTTGACATTCGGGAAGCCGAGGCAGCAGACAAGGGAGGCGATTTACAGAAACTGCTGACCGACGTACCGAGTGACCTGGCGGCACTGTTACAACAGTACAGTGACATTTTCCCGGATGACCTGCCGACGGGACTGCCACCTCAGCGACCGCACGATCACAGGATAGAACTGGAACCGGGGGCACAGCCAACAGTACAGCGACAGTTCCGACTGACCCAACCCGAACTAGACGAACTAAGGAAGCAGCTCGATTACCTGCTAGAAAAGGAATTCATTCGCCCTAGTTCGTCGCCTTTCGCCGCACCAATACTGTTCACACCGAAAAAGGACGGGGGTTTTCGCATGTGCATCGACTACAGGGCACTGAACAGGGTTACCATCAAATCCCGTTACCCCATCCCACGAGCCGACGAACTGATCGACCAACTGCGCACAGCCCGGGTTTTCTCGAAAATCGACCTCCGAGGAGGCTACCACCAAATCCGCGTCAACCCACCCGACTGCCCTAAAACCGCATTCCGAACACGCTACGGATCCTTCGAATACACCGTCATGCCATTCGGACTGACCAACGCCCCCGCCACTTTCCAAATGACCATGAACGAAGCATTCCGCCCACTTTTAGATAAGTGCGTCATCGTTTATCTGGACGACATACTGATTTACAGCCCTGACAGAGCACAGCATTTACAAGACATCGAAGCAGTTTTTAAAATCCTGAGTGAGAACCGCCTACTGACCAAAGCATCTAAGTGTGAGTTTTTACAGGACCGCCTGGAGTTTTTGGGACATATTATTTCAGCTGCAGGAGTGGAAATAGACCCGAAGAAAATTGCGACGATTCAGGCTTGGCACGCGCCGACCAACTTGACCGAGTTGCAGAGTTTCCTGGGGTTCGTCAACTACGTGCGCCAGT